TTACTGGTCACGCGTCAGAGGTTTGGGCCCGTGTTAAAAGCTTAATATGAATACGTTGTGATAGGGGTCAGTTGGAGCGCCCTCCCAGAGGACATGCTTTGCTATTTAGTTTTAATATTAAATTCACAAAAGGTTTACTCGAGCAGTGGCTATTGTTGAGGGAGAAAGTAATGCCTTCCAACGTGACGCCATATACAGGGGGTCTATGGTGAATCTAGAACAGAATTTTCGAGGGGAAGGGGGGTTCAAACTTGGCTTTGCCTTACAAAAAATTGTAACCTTGTATGGCCATTCTGGTTGTTTGAGGCTACATTTAGGGGTGATTTTACACACTTTTGGAAGGATGGGAAATGAATTGGACCAAAACGAAAAAAGCCTTTTTGGGGTGGGGGACACGGCCTTTGTGAGCCCCTGGATCTGCCCTTCAGATGTGTAAACGCAGTTACCCTTTGACGACCCCTGAAACCTGGGCTGCTTCCTGTCACGTAAGCACTCTCCAGACGTCTTACAGACGTCTTCTGAACGTAGGGACTGGTAGCGGGTAATGAGGAATCCTGTCTTTCTCTGTTAATGAGGAAATTAGCGTATAACAATGCCACAATGCAACACTGTCGCTCCACAAAAATTTGGAACACTTTCTAGAATGGAGCAGCACTCTCCTTGCTAAGTCATTTCCACTCGTAAAACACTTTCACACATATTTACCTTCTTTTTATGGATAATGGCTTCCATAATAGATCGATTGCACCCGCTAAATCACGTGACTTATAGAGGGTATAAGCTTCATAGCAACGTGTAATACAGCCAAGTTGCAGTATAGAATCCACCTACTGTCGGCTTTATTTTTGGTAAATGATACTTATAAAACACTTTGCTTTTGGTGAACTCCATGTGTGTTGATATTTAATACCCACTATATGCCACGTGACTTAGCGGGCATAAATTCGTTACGCGTACTCAGCGTGCTCGGCATCAAACGCGCCATTGATCTATATTACAAACGTGCACGTATGCGGTGAGTACCACAGACATAAACATATAGAAAAAGACATATAGAGAAAACATAAACAACGGCAGGGTGCTGTAGCCGAGACGGCACCCGACTAAATCCAAAATCGTGGGCAAATTCAACCGTCAGTATAGGGAATATACACACAAAAAGGAGCGTCTTTTTAGAACCTTTGTAAAGAAATATATGCATTCCCAGTGTGTGACGTGCAATTTGCAATGAACGCGCTGCCATTCGTCGTTTCGCCCATTGCTTGCCCACGCTTTTTAAAATCACGGTTACATGCGCCAAACTGATGGTCTGTGTGTTTAGAATTTGTTTGTGGTGAGTACTCCCCAAAACGCCCTCTTTTGTTGCACTCGGAGCGGATTCCTTTAACAACGCAAGGCCTTTGCGTGCACGTATAACGCGCACAAGAACCCACTTTGAAAATTTACAACCATACGTCTTTCTTTTGCCGCTTTGGGTGCACTTCAACTCGGGGCAGATACCGAGGGGAGAATTTTCCCAAAGGGCGGCGCAGTCCACCAATTCAAGTGAGAATTTCCGGTCAGTCATTAGCATAAAAAGCACCCCCGCTGTATCTTTTGAAAAAGGAGGTTGTTTGGCCCCCCAAATGGCGAGATTGTGTAACTCGTTGCCAGGACCAATTCCGTGGGTCTTTGAGCTTTCGTATGAAAGCAGAATGGCTAAAACTACCGTTGAAAAATGGTCCTAAGTGCCTGAGAAAGTTGGGGATTGCCACTTGAAAAGAAAAATCACGAGTTTTTTTTGGGGGGGGGGTATTTTGTTTTGTGGGAATAATTAAAAATTGAATTAGCTAACTCACAAAAACTGAAAAGAAATTGAAAGATTAGGGACCAGGCAACAATTTCATTTGTGTTTCAGTAATCTCAGGGATGTTGGCGTGCATGTTATTGGGCCTGAACAGCGCTGATTTTACACTGTTTTCAATGGGGCTTGAATTAGTGGACTGCACCCCGGATAGTTCTGATTTTAGTCGCGCGCCGCGCAGATCATGTTTTGAAAAGGATCTGGCGTCTATGCGTTTATATGTCTGTGATGTGAGCACAGGGTGCGTAATTTTTTTCGAGGAAGGTTAGGGATATTTTTCATATATGGGCGCGGTTACTGCAAGCTCGATCAATTNCAGTGGACACTTAGAAACATAAGTGCTAAAATAAATGTCGGGCTTTATTTTCCTATTATTAAAACATCCTCCGACTGAATAATTCCCCACTAAGAAAAAAATACTATATATAGACTCGAACCCTCGGCTTGTGGGTTCAAAGCATAACGCTCGTCCAACAGAGCTACGGTACCTCAACGTGCAGCGTAAAGTACAGACAATGTGGGAAATGAGAAAATAGCATGTGTAACACACTCAAACTCTAGTCTACCATGCAAGTCGGCCAGGTGAGCAATTTCGTTGCAGTTTCGGTATTGTCTAATACCGGTACTTAAAAAGGTTTGTGTACCCCATTTATATGATAATGCCCCCAACTTTCTTAGACGAAAAACGTATGAGCAACGGTTAAGATACTCCCGTTTGGGTTTTGCTGTTCTTTTTATGCATTCTTTCTAACTTTTTGTTTTCATTAAGAGTGACATTTTGATGAAGAGGGTTTTTTTTGTTTCGGTTTTTGAAATAAAAAATAATTAGGAAGATCTTGTCTTTCTAAGAATCATTCCATCATCAACCAGTATTACGTTATTACTAAAGTATGTAACATGCGGATTTGATAGAAACTGTGTTTGTGGCCAAACAGAGTTGAAGAAAAGACAGCGTCACAATGATAGGGACTGCAGTGTTTTAGAATCATGGACTAATGTCACTGAAAGTGTGGTGCTGATGAAGTTAACGATGAAGACTGCACTGAAAGAAGAAGAAATATTCTGAGGTTAATAATAATAATGCAGGTAGGGTGGTAACTTTCTAAACCTGCGGTCACCATTGTGGTCATACAATAATTTCTTGTACACCAAAATGTCTAATGTCTGGAGGAGTGGGGTACTACTTGGAAATTGCTGGGATGGACCATGAAGGAAAATCTTTAAGGTTACAAATCTACCATAAAATGGGAGTTTCATCAACGGAAAAAGAAGTTGGACAGAAATTGGACAAGTATCGGCCGCAGGTAATGTGACGAATTTTGGGCTTTCACTTATTACATGAGAGCAGTTCCTACAAACGCGGATATTCCATTTGCTCTTTTCCATTTTTTCAATAACAATGACAGAAACTTATTCAAATTGATGAATGGATGAAATAAAAACAAGAAAACACGAATGCCTGCGGCTCAGGGCAAGTATTTTGAAAGCGCAGGGGATGGAAATAAAAGAAAACAGTGATGGCGCCCTTCATAAACATCATGAATCAATTATATATAACGGCTTTGCCCTTACCCAACATATATTAATAAACACTGTATGCTCAGTGCTTGNTAGTGGACACTTAGAAACATAAGTGCTAAAATAAATGTTGGGCTTTATTTTCCTATTATTAAAACATCCTCCAACTGAATAATTCCCCACCAAGAAAAAAAAATATTATATATAGACTCGAACCCTCGGCTTGTAGGTTCTAAGCATAGCGCTCGTCTAACAGAGCTACGGTACCTCAACATGCAGCGTAAAGTACAGACAACGTGGGGAACGAGAAAATAGTATGTGTAACACACTCAAACTCTACCATGCAAGTCGGCCAGGTGAGCAATTTCGTTGTGTCTGATACCGGTGCGTACAGGTTTGTGTACCCCCATTTATATGATAATTGCCCACAACTTTCTTAGACGAAAAACATTTGCGCAACGGTTAAGATACTCCCGTTTGGGTTCTGCTGTTCTTTTTATGCATTCTTTCTAACTTTTTGTTTTTATTAAGAGTGACATTTTGATGAAAAGGTTTTTTTGTTTTGTTTTGTTTTTTTTTTTAAATAAAAACTAATTAGGAAGATCTTGTCTTTCTAAGAATCATTCCATCATCAATCAGTATTACGTTATAATTAATGTATGTAACATGCGGATTTGATAGAAACTGTGTTCGTGGCCAAACAGAGTTGAAGAAAAGACAGCGTCACAATGATAGGGACTGCAGTGTTTTAGAATCATGGACTAATGTCACTGAAAGTGGGGTGCTGATGAAGTTAACGATGAAGACCACACTGAAAGAAGACGAAATATTCTGAGGTTAATAATAATAATGCAAGTAGGGTGGTAACTTTCTTAACCTGCGGTCACACTTGCGGTCGTACAATAATTTCTTGTACACCAAAATGTCTAATAATGTCTGGAGGAGTGGGGGTACTACTTGGAAATTGCTGGGATGGACCATGAAGGAAAATCTTTAAGGTTACAAATCTACCACAAATGGGAGTTTCATCAACGGTCTTCATAAAAAAGAAGTTGGACAGAAATTGGACAAGTATCGGCCGCAGGTAATGTGACGAATTTTGGGCTTTCACTTATTACATGAGAGCAGTTCCTACAAACGCGGAACAATGACAGAAACTAATTCAAATTGATGAATGGATGAAATAAAAACAAGAAAAAACGAATGCCTGCGGCTCAGGGCAAGTATTTTGAAAGCGCAGGGGATGGAAATAAAAGAAAACAGTGATGGCGCCCTTCATAAACACCATGAATCAATCCAAGTGCATGATGTAGAAACATAATTATGAAAAATCTCCAATAAAATCCCACCAGCAGTACCAGTTTCAGCCATCCATTTGTCACTATTTGTCGCTGCAATCATATTTATTTACCCAAATACGAGTAAAACGAACATGCACCGTGCATCTTGCAAATTGAAATTAAATGCATACATACCATATGAGCCAGAGTTATTTGTTCTTTTTGCAGGCCCCTTGAAAAATAATTGTACTCCCAAGTCATTCAGGAGAAAGATAATGCCCAATAGTTGCACACAACAATTTTGCAAGAGCGCCCTCTCGCGATATCGAGGCTTGTACATACAGCAGCTGAGAGCGATGATCGATGCACGGCATTCGCGGATGAGGTATGATCGATCGGGAGCTCATTGACATTTGTATATTTGTAGGACATGTAGAATGGCTTAGTATATCGCGGTAGTTATCACATTTTCCGATCGAAGTAAAGATTGCTTCCTCACAATTCTGAATTATTCTGTATTTGTTGTATTATTTGTTACAGTTTTGTCAAAGTTGTAAAGCTGTGTACACACTGGTACAGTACAAAAGATAACCGACTTCTGAACAATCTTGGTTTTGTAGGCCTGACTCGGGGCAGCAAGACTTACTGAGCTTTGCCCGTGCCGTGCGTGGTGCCCATGCCAATATTCCTACATTTGAGGCTACCGTCTACCACCAGACGCTAAACCTACATGTAGGCCTATTTCTGAACACTTCCGGTTTCGTGGAATGCCCAACGTGTTAATGTGATTCATCGATTGCTTCCCAGCGATTACCTTAATACTTCGCACACAATTTCGTTGCACATGTAGCACAGCAATGGCTTCGCCTACAAGCGACAGGGCACCACTTTTAGTCAATTACCAGGAGGATTTCACCGATATTCGGGATCCAAGAGAGACGGTCAAAAGCCTGTACACCAAGGAGGCCTCTCTGGGCTGTCCAAGGAATTCACAGAGTGTTGGCATCGACAGTGTGACAGTGAGTGCCTGTAACTCTGTGTGTGATTTGAGCCGATACAGTGACAGCATAGTGGCAATATTTGTTGTGGCATTTGACACGAGATCAGGTGAGTGGTGACTTTCAATGACATGTATGCATTTGTGGAAAATGAACCATGAGTACATGTATGATTTCTGCACAAAATGTACAAGTGACAAGAAACACCTGATCATGTTTTATTTAACCTTAACCCCCAGCATGCCTAGGGACCAGTGAAATAAATGCATACTATAATTATATTGTTAGATTGAGAATGGTTAATGATAATGGTCAAATAAGACAGATCACTGGATAGAAAGATAAAAATGAATACATGTACATGTATATTCAACTCAAACTTCAAACTGAATTTTATGTTAGCCTCGATAAGTGGATAAGAGCATGAGTTGTTGATCATTCTGCCAACAACATATCACCTTTTCTTTCTAATTAACTATTGCGTAAGGTTGTTTTAATACAGGGAACTAAAGTTGACGACATCATGCAGAATCTACATGTACCGTACCAATCGGGGAAACAGTAATTGGGCAAACATGGACATCAGACGGTCATATCAATCACGTCTTGCATATATTTTGTTTTGAATCTGCACACCAACCAGCCATGCATCGGCCAGTAGTTTGGGAAATGGCCCACTGGGTTCCCTGTTAAAATAAGCAAGGGCACCCTGGCACCCCTAATCCGAAATTTAAAGCTAAAAGCAACTTTGGCATCGGATAATCAACCATGAAGGGGTACCGATTTTCCTTTACTCTTTCATATTAAATGTGTATGGTACATATACATGTAGGTATTGTAACTTAACATTGAGTACAAATGCTAAAAACTTTTTCCCTGCAAAATTTGACGTTTTAGGACATGCTTTCCATTGGCTGATACATTGTGTATCAGTGTAAAGAGAAATTGGTGATGTCTACGGTAACTCGTTCTTGGGCTGAGTCAGTTCGAATAATTCACTATTCAAATATTTGTCCCTAAATTTGATTGAATACATGTACCTGTATCCGAATATTCGGTCGCACTGACTGGCAGATTGTTGATGAACAAACCAATACATGTACAGTATATGTACAAATCAGCTGCAACAATGCACACAATTATACATTATAACCAATATAATACCCTCTCACATCTAGGAGTACAGGCATCTCCAGCCAAGATTTAGCAAGATTAAGAGATGAACAAGATTTCTTGCCCTGTTGAAAATTTCTACTCTTTTTAAATTGCTTAATGAATAATTAACTTTACTTTTTAAATGATATCGTAAGATTTCTGAGGTTTTTCATTTGAATCTGCTTGAAACAAGTCTCCATAGTGCAATTTTTCTCATTTAAAACGAAAGAAAATTTCCTTCCGTTCATGAATTTCGTATTCGAATATTCAAATTCGAAAAATGATATTCAAATATTCGACAATCGATCAAATATTCGGTTAATTGGATATTTTGAGTTTAACAGCTGGGCAGTTCCACGGAAACATCAACCTCTGGGACAAAATGTCAAACTGGTCCAAATGTGACAAATTATATATCATTTTGAAGCTTATGGTGTTTACTTTCATGAAACATACTTCATTTCTACCAACATTCAAGAATTTGGCTTTTACATGATACTGAAAAATTGGTTTTAAATACCGAGAAATTGGGGAAAATATTTCCTCTCTGAAAGATTTTCTGTTTTTTAGCCTGATAATAATTTTTTTTCTTCCAGTTTTGTTACAGTTTGAAGAGTGCCCCAATAAGTAAACAATGACAGAAATGAATTTTCATATTCCTTTTGTAATTCAATGTAATGTCTTATAACTACAATGTAATGTTTATAACTACAGTCTTTTATAACTATTCTGAAAAGTCAGTTTGGACGTGTACGTCCGACACAAAGAAATTTACGTCTGACACCAATATAATAAATGCTTTATCTGAAAGTCACAACAAGATAAAAATGTGTCTTGCCTTGAAGTTTATTAACAAGGGTCTGCTAAAACTAAACACAGGAAAACTACTTCTTCAGGTCCTAGCAATTCACAGACTTTGTGATACAAAAATGGAAACTAAAAAATTAAATTTCTCTGAGTACGTCCGACATCATGGTGTTATGAGTCAGTTTCTATGAGGATACTAATTCTGAGTGAGAAATTTTGTTATTAAGTGATGTCTTTTATCAAAATCAAAATCTGCTTCAGGATTATAATTATAATAAAACGCACTGTTGAAGTGTCCAAAATGTACGTCCGACACCATGGAACTGCCCAGCTTCAATGAAGGAAATTATAAACTGTGAGTAAAATGGCGATTTGTGACCCCTAAACGTACATCATCAAAATGTCAAATAGCTGACCAATCAGAATCAGGAACTGAATCCCAATGATCCCATGTTGACCAATCACGTTTATTTTTCAGCCTGATAACTGACCAGTGCAACCCTAACCCCAGTACATTGTACCGGTACCACAGGCCCCCTTCCATCATCATCGCTTTTTAAGGGACAAATTACTATAATTTATGTAAACATCATGAATACACCTGTTGGTAATCTTCATTTTGAGTACTCTCAATCTCAATCACTGTGTATTAGCCTTCAGCAACATGCCTTGTTATACTCAGCTTCACCGCCTACATGTAATGATGTACTGTACATGTACATGTGGTACATGCTCATGGATCATCAGCCACAGATGTGCATGTACGTCATCAAGATCTTTGGACAGACGTCATCACTTGTGCGTGCCCCCTCTTTTAAGAGATGCCCATATTCACAGAATCCCAATCATTGGGACATTATCGACATGATAGAGGAAATAATTTTTGAAGGAATGCTTACTACATACAATGATACATGTACTGGTGCTTCCATGTAGACCAATCCTCCACCACCGTTGCAATTATCCCGTTTATAATTTGATTTTCTGCCATTTATGTGTGATGGATATGAAGCTGTTCTTCATATACATATGTACACATACAGCAGTTGCTATTCTTGTATTTTTCATTTTAGTTCTCATTTTTGAAATGAGCTCACAAATACACTGTTTTAATAAATTGCTGAAGTGTTTTAGCTACATACACTGTACATCGTTAATTAATTGGAAATCATAGATTGTGTACCATATCAAGAGAGTGATTTGCACTTGTCGTAGTCTAGCAATGACTGGTGTACATGTACAGGTCTCCAAGATTTGGACTGCACTTTTTAAGACCTGTCCTCGGAGATCATAATTTTATTCAGTTCATGAAATGGAATCATACCCTTCAAGGCTTCAAAGGATCTACATGTACATGTAGAATTAGTTTGAATTGTAACATGTTTGTCACGCAGAAAATCATCAACCAATCAAATCTCAAATCTACAGTGTGTGTACCGAATGCCAGCTGCATGCATCCTTGTCACTCATTTGAATGGATACTGACTTCCACAGGCAACCGTTGACTGACAAAGTAATGAAAGTTTAGGGAAGTGTGAAATAATTTGGAATCTGCATCAACATGGATTATGATAATGATGAAGGCAGGCTGGGGTACATGTAGGTGTCGCATGGGAGGCTGGCATGCAATGTACCGGTACATGTACTGTGTGATGTGTACCTCTGACAAACAACACAGTTCCAACTTGATAAAATACCTGTTTTTAACATCTTGAACAATTTTTTTAAATCTTAGGTGTTCTTAAACTTCAGGTTTCCAGCAATGGAGAATATATACAAATCCACAAGAAAAGCATTATTAAATATATATATAATGTACATGTGCACATGGGGTGCATGCTTGTATTGTATGGAGTTGAATAATATTCATTACATGTATTTGCATGGGCCACTTTGAAAAAATTGAAACCACATGGAACAACTCTTTTAAGAATCTACATGTAAGTAGTTTCAACTTGATTGTAGATGTGTGTACACATGTACATGAATGTAGACAGTCGAGAGATTTTGTTTTCTGGTCATACTGTCATTGATTTAAATCAGAAAAAATATCTTTTTTTGAAGTTACTTTGTAAGATAAAAATAGGCCTCACAAAAATGTTGAACAAGTAAATGTAACAATACATAGAGAAAGATGCAAACAATAAGATTCAAACACGATACATGATTTTTCATTTTTTTCTTTCAATAGGGCGCCTTTTAAAATTCGATGCTTCTCATTTCCGACCGACCCTAGTTTTTGCTCTGTCCCGACATCGAATATAGCTCACCTTTTTTTTACCTAATGACCCTAGTACAAGTAAGAGGACTTTGCCTGTAAAAAAAGAGTTGTGATGACCTGTACAGAAACAGCACTGAAAATGTACGGGTGCGATAAGATTTTGCCCAACCATCAGTAACAGTCGAAATCCATGCTACAGCATCAATACTGTACTGACATGACTGAGCGGTACCGCACTGCACCTTTTGCACCATACAAGCATGTACGGGGCGCTGTAGGAAAAACAAAAGCATGTGCATGTACACACTGCACACATGAACAACGTGTGGTGTCTTGACACTGACCCTATGGAGGTACTGGTATTATCTTGTAAACCAATAAAAGCATTTCTCTGCGCTCAGTTAGAAAAACAAGTGACCGGTATAGATGTACATAGTGTACTTGTCTGGTTTATTCAGTCTTCTGCTGGTGTATGGAAGAAGCATATAGATTGTTTTTAGGAATTTCTTCTTTTTTTTTTTGACTGATTGGGCGTCCCTCAATTGAAAAAAGATATGAGAACCATAGAATGTGAAAAGGGTGCCCTTTTCTTTATAACTTCATTTGCGTACCGTAAAAATGACTAGGTCTTTCAACTGATGTAGATAACAAATTTGTTTTCTTTTTGTAACTTCATTATTGCCTGGATAAACTTCGAAACTTGAACCAGTCTTCTCTAGATGTGACGGCCTTTTGAAGCTTCTGAAAAATGCCAGCTACACCTGCAGCAGAAACTTCAGTTTCAGTTTTCTGATTCATCTGAAAATTTAATCTCAGATTTGAGCAGGTTAGAGGCAGCCTTGAAGCCAACTGAAGCTCTGTGTGACATCCAGCGATAATGTTTCTTGTTCCTAAATTGTCCCTGCAGGAAAACAATGTCTTACCAATCAGTCCTTGTTTTTTTGTTTTTCGTTCAAAAGTACATTACAATAGAAAGAAAAGAAATTGGTTGAATGTAATTCCAGTTGCATTCTCAAACCCTTCAGTGGCGTGAAGTGATGATAGGTTTTGCTTCTATTTTAGGAAACATCGTCGAATGGTCCCTACCAGAAGACATGGACTTGGAAGGGGTGGAGTTCAAGGCTATGGCCAGCGGCTCGCACACCGTCCTCTCAGATTTCATGTAAGTAGCCCTCTCGGATCAATTTGTTATCTCCCATGCATCATCACCATCTGATGATGGCCGGCTAGGAGTAGTGCCATGCATGTGCACAATCACACAGGTGCATTGTAGACAGTGTTGTAGACAGTTGGAATATTCATGAGGTCAAGTGTGACTGGATAATGAATCATCATAAAATGTACGTCCTCTTTCTTCTCATTGCCTGTTTTCCTTTATTCCTATCCTGTCCTGCCCTCTTCTAAACATGAAAAGGTATATGTTCGTGATTTCTTTTATCCCCACAAAAATTGAACACATGCACATTGTAATTCCAGCCAATCTGATCTCACTTAACACGTTATTTGCTAACTGAAAGCAAAGGAAGGAAAAGTTAGGACAATGAAGTACATAATTTCAAAGAATTTTGTGCAAAGATCAATTCAGCATTAAGGGTTTGTCCCAGGAATGACTCCTACGTTTTGTACATGAAGACATTTCGAATTTTCATTACCTGCCATGCACTATACATGTAAAAATGAGAATGTACTCAAATACTAAATTAAGAATCCACCTGTAAAAGGCTGATTAATTGAAACACACAGGTGCATTTTTTCAAGTGCATGAACAGTTGCATTGCGTAAATGACGGAATGGAAGCCATTTTTGTACATGCATCCTGGTTGCACTGATAAGGAGAGGGGTGCCTTGGCATCTTTTCAACACTTTGTGTACGTTTTTGGCACTCCACCCTGGACACCCAGGATGGAAATGTTTTTCGAACTCTAGTGCCATTCCACTCAGACTAAAAATCAAGGAATAACTCAAGCTTACATAGGATCAAATACAAGATCTGTAACGCACAAAAAAAATCAATTATTTATTTCAAGAAAGAAATGAACTAAACTAAAGTATTTACACTCCCTTATTGGTCAGTCTTATGGGCCCAGTGAGAAAACATTACAAGATTATCCCGTAAGCAAGAAAATTGCTCAAGCTTTCACACAGCACAGAAATTAATACAATATAAAAATTCCACAGCTCTTTTAAGTACACTATAAATAATGGTGATCATGGAGCAATGGCACCAGGAGGTGAGATGGAAGTCCCCAGGCTTGTTATGTTTCTTAAATAGGTCCCTCCCCAATGACCATTGGAAAGTACATGTAGGTGATGGTTGAGGCTAGCATTCATCAAAGTCAGGTCAAAATCAGAATCGTAAGGAACTTGGACAGTACACATGTAGGTGCCCCACCAGTAGCACATAGGCAGAGGGTAAATTACGGGATACCAAGGCTTTTGGCTTAATCTGGGCCTATCCTCAGGTCTGGCATTCCTGGGAGTTTGCAGTGCAGGTAAAACTAAAAGGTTTTAATCGCCCACTAGCAGAAAAACACCCTCATACAGGAGAACAGGGACGTCCACCTGACGTGCAGCCCTTGGTGGCTCCCAACTCAACAACCTCAGTGCTGAAGGTCCACACCCATCCGCTCGACAAAACCCAACCTGTCGAGACACACTCACTCCAGCTCCCACACCGTAAAACTCAATTCAGACAAAGTGGGCCCGTGTTACATACCCTCCCATCCCTCGGAATGCCAGTTACCCGATTAAGACATAAATTCACACGTACACCAAGGCAAGAACTACACTGTATGTGTACATGAACAACGGATACAAGCCCAGTGCGATAACAAAAAGAATCCTGATTTAACCGGCCGCAACCTCCCAAGTTACATGTACATAACAATTACCTTTGCTAGACAAGTTCTCAAATGAAAGACATAATTTTAAACCCATTTTGTGACATTCAATAACATGGACACTCTGATTTTCAACTGACACGTGTACACGTCTGGTACATGTACATATTTTAATGCCCAGTTTCTATGTGTGAATTAAATCTTGCACTGTCTTTGTCCTCCCCCACTGTTATTAAGTAAGAAGAAAAGCAATAAATTCCATCAAGCAGCGTTACAACCGTTAGGCTACATGTACATTAAGTGGCTGGCTCGCGGCCTCAGTTTGCTGGCAGACGGAAAGGCAGAAGGGGGGGGAGAGAAACAGTCAGGGGGGGGGAATAATTAATACAATCCTTGAGGCAGATGAGCATGGCCGGGGAGCTTGTTGTACTCTTTGACTTGGAAAAAAAAAAGCCTCTTAAATGCAAACCACAGTGCAGAGGATCAAGTGGGTAATAATATGAAGTCCATTGCATACTTGAATCTTGTCAAGATGGCTGGTGAGATGGTGCATAGGTTTGAGCTGACGCCAAGGACAATCAGTGTGAATTCTTATTACAGTTTCCAAGATCGTGCAATGCATTTCTTAAATGCACAGGCCAGTGTAGTGCAGATTTTACATGTTTGTGTACATGTACGTACTAAACTTAGCCAGTGGAATATTTTATTGTATTAGTTCTGCTTCCAACATGCGTCCTTTTCCCAACTGGTTCAGTTTTCAGTACTCTTTAGCGGTCTAAATAAACCTGACTTTGCAAGAACCTCAATTTTTTTGGGGGGGTTGTGTTTTAATGCTGTGCAGCTTTCCTCAGTACATGTACTTTATGAAAGAAGTTGAGAAACTGCTCTCAGAAAACAAATATGCCAAATGTGGAGACAAAAATGTAATATGTACGAGTACATGTATCGGTACCTACACTTGTACGTCACCGTATAACCATGGTATATGAGGGAAATTCTCCCTTTCTGTAAAATAAGTGAAACCAAGCAAAACTCCAACCTCCTTGATAAATTGACTGGTGATTAGTGTCAAACCGGTACATGTGATATTGCTGTGGATGACATGCACTACTGTGACTACCCTGTACATGTACATGTACATGCATCGTACATGTTGTACACATGTACATGTAGGTCCGAAACTTTCAAGATGGTTTAAGAGATTTTTCTCAAAAAAAAAAAAATCCTCAAGAATTCGAAGAAACAAAATGATCAGACTATTTGTGCCATTGGACTTTTCAATGAGCCACTTTTACCTCTTGCTTTCAGATCACGTGTACGTGCTTGCACACGTATGCACCTAAATTTTAAGCTATTAATGCCAGTATCTCTAAAAAGGGCCATACTGTTTGATGCACCCGTGCTTTTCAAATATTTGTATTATTTCATTGACGGTGTTGATAAACACTTTCCCATCTGATGTCCAGACCCCAACATGTAATTTTCCCAGAGGGACACAAGATGTAATACAACCCAGAGTAGACATAGAACTTGATACCTTCTGAGGAGGATTACCCTGAACATTATCCTTCATCATGGAGCATCATGCATACCCCTGATAGACATGATAGAGCTGGCTATAGCGGGTATTTAGGATATCCGTAGTCTCCTCAGTGAGTGATAGATAACTGTACATGTACATGTACAAATGAAACTCCAGTGTTGTCGCTGTCTTTGGCTTTGTACATCAAGTATGGGCACTGGTGGATCCATGAATGCAATACCGGGGGTACCGGTAGCATAGGGGTTTGATGAGACCCTGTGTGTTTCATTGTATTCACATTTTAAATGAACCTTAGCAGCTGCACAGAGGATGGTACATGTACCGGTACATCTACATGTATGCACAATAGGGGTGATTCACAGTAGTGCGCCACCATGAGTTTGCAACGCGTTGGCCAATCATAGCGTGCGAAATTTGTCGACCCTTTCCGAACGGGTATTGGGTCGACAATTGTCGTGCATTGTGATTGGTCAATGCTTTGCAATCTCTTGGTGGCGCACTATTGTGAAACACCCGGATTACAGCGGTACGTGTACATGTACTGGTACCTACATGTACATGTACCTGCGAGGGTACATGTACGTTACATGTATATTCCCACAAGATGGTTGTAGAACTATTTATGGGCCTGTTGAGAAGGGGTGATTATGATGTACTAGTCGTACCTTGAGTGCCAGAAATGGTGGATATGTACATACTCTTTATGAACACCAACATTTCAGGCCCCAGAACCCAACAAAGAGCATTTTGTGGTGGTCCTTTGGCATCTTTCTGGTGGCTTTTATCCGTGGATGCATTTTAAAGTCCTTAGCCGGATCTCCTTGAAATTCAAAGAACGGCTCAAGACCTGATCTGAAGCATTTGTGACCCAACATTTAAAACCAGGCTGGAGCATGTGCTCATGTCCCTGGTAGGTAATTTGATGCAAGTCCCCCTTCTCTCCTGCTCTTCATTTTTCATAGTTTCAAAGTGAAAACTTTTGTCTGGAGCAAGGTTTGGGAGTGGAATTTTCATTGTGCAAGTGCTTCTTTATGTATTGGAAGCATTTTTTTTCCAGATAACACCAGTAATGCCAGTACCATAGCTTACAAGGCTTCAGTCTCATTTTTGGATGGTACATAGACATGTACATGTGTATGTGAGCATGTACATGTAGGTCAAATTTGGGTCATTCCATGAGGTTAGGACACAATTTGTGACGGTATCCTTGTTACATTGGTAACTTTTACCTCCTGTCATGACCTGTAGAGTACATGTACAGTACATGTAGGTCATTTACTCTGTAAAAGTGACACACATTTCTGTATTCAGCCTTGCAAGATGTATAATTTGGAATCCATGTGCAGGGAAATAGCTGTTCATTTTTACGGAACCTACGTAACGATGGACAACGTCACAAATTGTGCCCCAACCTCATGGAATGACCCATTTAAATTGCAATTGTTTGGCAATCTTTTAATATTATAACTTGCATTGTAAAAGTAAAAAAATGTATGTGTACATGTGCTGTATCATACAGTAAGCTGTGAACTCCGTGTAGATAAATATTGAAGACAATGTGACTGATGGCCAAGATATATGTACATCTTAAAGTGTACATTTATGGCTGTATGCTGTAACAATTCACATACAGGTGTACCATATTCATTGGTTAATCCTGTGATCAATTTGTGGTTTGATACACTTCAAACAACAAAACGGACAAAGTTTGTTTTTGTAGAGGTTTGCTGGTTACCAAGCCATAAATCTTATGTGGCTTTTCATGATCAATGAATTCTTGTGTTGAACGTACGCAGTATAACTTGGCTTTAGGCTTTTGCCTTTAGGGTTAAACCTTTTTGCATGTGTGTGTCAACTGTACATTTTTCATGAAAGAATTTTCATTTCCTTTTTGACGAAGGTACATGTACATGTATCAAGTTGAGAACGGATCTTTCATGTGCTTATAAATCCAAAGGCTATGCACATGTACATGTACATGTATGTTAAAAGCAGAAGGCATCTTGATGTACTGTACACCTGCTGCTTGGTTCCTTGAATATCTCTTGCTCAGGACTTTTAAGACATATATTTTTGTAATGAGGTGTAATTTGTCATTTTTCCCATCTGTTTTTTCCCTGTGCAATATTAGATATTTCAGGAAAGATAACTACTATGGCTTGAGCTGCTTCCAGAACATGCATGTGGACAGTGAAGTGGAACGGGGAGCGCGGATGAAGTCCGTGGGTATCCTAGCGACGTCGTACACGGCACTGTACAAACACATGCAGTTCCTGGAGAACCAAGTTCGGTATGGAAATTGATGAAATGTTTGGGAGAGTGATTTTGTTTGGAACAGTTTGCTCAGGTGGCAGACTGGTGGGCTCATTCCAACCATGTTCCAACAGGAGGTTGCTATTAATACTTGACTTTGATGCGTTCTGTAGTATCCTGTGTGATGGAAGTTTACATATCTGCCATTAAGGCTTGGTCACTTACTAATTGCAGAAAAGGAAAAGTGGTTATGGAAGACGGTACATACATGGCACAGTTGTGGTAAACCCTGTAGTCATACAAATTCACTAAAAGTCCAGGCCCAGACCTGCTCACAACAATCTGCTGACCAGCATGCCATACGCCATCAATTCACTGATTGTCTTGAACACAGATTGAGATTTTGAAGAAATGCATAGGTTTTATTGAAGCTAATTTATCGGCCCTGGACTGCATGGGCATGCATGCACTGTATAAAACTGGCCTATTGAAACAAGTACATCCTGATTTCTTCCCTGTGCTATTCTGGTTTGCACATTTGCCTAAGAGAGACTGCTTTCTTGTATTTGATGGAGTAAACATTGTGTACATGTACCATTAATGTCAACCAGTCCAGAACACTCAAATGTAATGTTCATACTTTTGCAGACATCAATTGGAAATCCCAGGATGCTATGAGCAGCTGTTGGCATTCTTCAGTGATCATAAAGCATCGTTACCCTCCAGGGAAACATCACGGAACACGCTGTCCGTGTCCTCACCTCTTATTGGATCGCCGGGGACCACACCCCTTACCACACCCATAACCACACCCAGCTCTGAGGGTAGTCTACCAACAATGAAGGTTTGTCTAGATCTTTCAGAACTGTTTTGCTATTTACCACTCGTGTGTGGAGACTTGAAGCAATTTTGTGGACTCCATTGACAAACATTGGATGAGGCTACAGACATGCTCTTGAAAATCACAATACTTGTTGCAATTTCAACTAAATGTGCACAGACAAAGGCTGACCGCGCGTGGCACCCTGACTTAGCCATGTGCCACGGCCAGTCTTCATAGTAAATATCGTTCCACAGCATTGTTGCAGAGTGTAGAAAACACTGTGTGGTAGTTAAGAAATGCTGTACAAATCTTGCACCAGTAACTGTGAAGTGTCAACTTTTGAGCACTCCTCTTGATTGTGAAAAGTGGTTTTGGTATCTTATTATTTTCAAAGGTCAGGGTTTTCAGCCAGAAATAATACTGTATCGTGGGCCGATTTGTCTTGAAGTGACATCATTCACAAGTGGTTACAAGAACATTTTCTTTGTCATACGGGGACTGTATTATCCAAATAAATTTTCTGAAACATTTGATATCTGTTTTCAACATCAATATGTTCATGACAATGTCAAAGATTTAGTGTGTGTATGTTAAATGACCCTGATCAGTGTTGATAGACCATCTTTCTTGAAGTGTGTATGTTGCATGCTCATCCACCATGAACAGCGTTTGTGGGTGGTGGAGTGTTTCAATACTAGCCAGATATCTAGATTGTCCACACATGGCACTTCAGGCAATAAACAACCTACATGTATGCACACTTCATTAAATCTCCGCCAAAGAAATTTCATCGCTATCTCAGAAACTAATTAGATGTTCTCAGATCATGTACATGTACAAGACTCTTCACCGGACAGGTTTTTTACCTCGCGTGCTATTTAACCCTGTCGAAAATCCTCTTCTTTAATAACCCAGACTCTAGCAGCTGTTTGGCTTATCGTAAAATCCAGCACACTGTGTAAATGCCACAGCCAGGATGTACCATATTTGCCCAGGATTAACAGCATGATCGTTGTACATCTTGAACAGCTCGAAAGCGGTACTTGGGCAAACTGTCCTGATTTGATTGCATGCCAAAAAAAACAATTGAAAGCTGAGAAATTAAAAAAAAAAATGTTTTTACATGTAGTATCCGGGGTATTGTTCTTGTACAGGAAGTGAAGTGCATGCGCTGCTGATGGTGTGATGGTACATGTAGATGATCACGTTAGATTCTTATCAAGATCAGAAGATTATAGCTATCATTATCCCTTTCCAAAGATGTCACAGTTAAAATGTTGATACATCACCCAGAGTGACAAAGACATGTAGCCTCTTCTTCAAAAGAGGATAGATCTGTTGTATACAAAGTGCATCCTCAGGCCACACATATTACATGTGTTCATGGGCATCACCAGGATTTTTCCATCGGGGGGTGCACGTTTTGTGGGGGAACAATGCACTTCCATGGTGAGTGTAGCGGACTGATAGACCATCATCGGTGGAGGCAGTCAGTTCCGAGGCATTTTCATGGAAACAGCAATCTGTTTCCCCTGTTAATTTTTTTCTTTACTGATTTTCCTGTTACACTTTTACAATTTCTACTGAGGGGGAACAAAGCAAGTTACCGCTTTGCCATAACTGTCCACCCACCCATTTTGGTGATACCCATGCATGCACCATGCATGCACTTTTTGTGTAGCCATCTCTAATACATGTACATAAACATACATGTACATGTAGAACTGGAACTGTGTCCTAAGCAGGTTTTTAATGAGCCAGTTTGTCATTTGGGAACAAGCCATCAAATGGCATGGTAACTAGCTCAAACATGTTCAGTACACCTAGGTCTGATATGGCCGATGTCACACAGGCATTAAGATTGTCCCAAATGACGTGTGACTTGGGCTGACTCGATTAGAATATTCAAATATTTGAATGTTCAAACTTCCATTCGATTGAAGGTTTGAATAATTGGTTGTACCAATACCAAATCCCAACAGAAGCAGAAGCAACATACGCCTGCGTATGCGCTTCAACACAGGGGCCCATCTTGTTGAAAGAGGAGGCTGATAGTTCAAGAGATATACATGTAGAGTCCTAGTTGATGTGACTTATCACCCTGCTTATTCTTTTAGTCCCAGTGAAATCACAGATCAGAAAAAAGTGAAAAAGTGAAACTGGAAGAAATTAAGAGATCTTGTTGGGCAGGTGCATTAATACCATCAAGTTTTCTCATAACACCTTGAAATATGCTGAGGAATAGAATACAGTTTTGTAATCAAATAGTTCAGTTTTTCCCCCCTGTTATTTAATTACTTTTCAACCTGAATATTCAATTTCAAAAACAAAAGCATTCAGATACTGTACATGGATTTAATAATTGATTGAATATTCAATAATGCTAATTTTTGGGCACATATTCAATAATCCGAATATTTGGACACAGCCCTACCTGTTATGTGTTTCATTTTGCCCTGTTGGAATACTTAATTATGGCTACCAGGTGCTAGCTGAAAGCATATAGCGGTACATGTTTGTGCAGTCTGGCATTCAGTGTATGCCTCAGTGCTCCAAATATGCATCTGCATACATGTACATGTACGTTGTACATGTATATCGTTTCACCTAAATTAGTTTATTGGGTATTAAGCAGCCAGCAGGTGATAGTGAAAATGAATTGGATCCAAATGAAAGGGGGAACATGTACAAGCAGATGAAGCAGAACAGACTGACAAGTCAAATTGAAATATGAAATTAAAGAGAAAACATGTCAACAGATATAAATTTCTGGACTGAAAGTGTTTTTGCTCTGCTCTTTGTAAATACTGGTAGTTTACATGCAAGTTGTTTCTTTTTGTCTTCCCATTGTTTTCTATATTCCTTTACAATGAGCTGAAAGTGAAAGCATCAAGAAACCAGGGAGACATTTCACGTGATGCTGACAAAAGAACAGACTTTTTTCTTTTCTTTTTCAAACTTCAAAGCACATCAATGTACAAATTTGTACATGTACATTTTATGTGTGTTTACGGCATTCACATCATACATGTAATCTTGTATTGCAAGACTTTGTAACTTGTTGATGGTTGCTTGTGTTAAATTTTCAATCCTTCACACACGGCAGACAGCTTGAATGTTTTATCATTTGCCATCACAGTTGCAATGCATTAATAAACCGGACTCTCATGTACATGTAGCAGTAGTTAATCAAAGAAAGGCTTGTCTAAAATTGCTTGATGGCCCGTGTAGTCAACAAGTCCCCATGGAGTACTTTCTGAGAATTTTATTTTCCAAAGTCTTCAGTTTCTTTTGAGATGTAGAAATGTAGCTTTATCAACACCAAGCCATCTTGGCATGAGGCAGAACAAGTGGTCCTCAAAAAGTACTCGACCACAACTCTGGCAGTTTGGATGTTTTCAAGTGTGGTATGAGTTCAGGCTTCTGGAGTGTCTAGACCCTGTGTGTATGTACAGGTGCGTGGACGACATGGAACTTTTCAAGCAAAAAACAGGTCAATATGTACGTGTTTCTGCATCTCTAACATCCCTTCAGATCACGCATCCAGCAGGCTGCTTTGCCCAGTTCATCAACTTCTTTGGGGAGCAGATCTTTACCCTTTGGAAGTACGTCCTCCTCCGCAAGCGGATACTCTTCTTTTCTCCGCCCCCAATTGGGGTTGTCTGCTACAGAGGTGAGCCATGCTCATTTGTATTTGCAGTTTTCCAGACACTTAAATTAATCTGGAACTTGTGAATTGCTTGTACTCAAAGGCTTCAAGGGGGATTTAATGTTGTACAGACTTGACATGTAGATTTCATTTTATATATGAGCTGAAAAAGAGTTTATTTATTGTGAAGTTGAATTGCACATGCCTTGAATATTAAAACCATTCAACAGTTACTGTACATGTAGATGCTGTTGAAGCATTTGTCAGGACGATGCCAACAACGATTTTGTAATTAGGTCCTCTTTATCAATGGAATTGATTACCATTTCTTATTCAGGCAGCTTCATTCACTTTCAGTTTGCAGAGGACAACAAACTTTTTGGAGGGATTGGTCTTACAATGATTTTCTGTTCCATAATGTACAATTTGTATTGGTGTATCTTTTAAATGAGTTTCAATGTACTTTAAACTGTTGGTCTGTGTACCTGATCATTTATTTGCATTCCAAGCATTTCAGGTTCGTTGTTTCACGGTCTAGTTTGCCTTCTGCCTCTCCAGTTTCCTACTTTGAAACTGAACGGGAAAATTCCAAATTTGCTGTCATGTTAATTGAGGGGAAAATGTATATTATACTTACTTCCACCTACATGTACATTTACACAATTTTTGCTTGCAGCACATGTAGAGTATATTGTACATATCGACCGAAACTGCTAACTCTGCCAGCAGCTAAAAAGCGTAGGCATGCTCAACACACAAGCAATTAATGGCAAGATCTAATCTGACCTGGCATTGGACAAGACAGTAACTTAATAAGGGACTTAATGAATCGCCAGTAGCCTCATGGGTATGTAGCCCCAGACGACCGGTCAAGCTGGGTGCATGTGTGTGCGATACGTGTGTGCTGCTGGTGACTCATAGATTGCTGATTGTTGCGTGGACTTACTTTGCGGTTAATCAGTGGTTGGTGTTTGCGCATGCTAGTTCAGCTGACATTTACCCAACGTGACTGATGAAGTATACAGTTATCTATGTATATTTGTAAATAAATAAATATGTACTGCTTACTGCCCATGTTTTGAAATTGTATTGAAGAAGTAAATCTTGTGCTATATTTTTTTTTTATAAAGGAGGGACTTTGGGGGTTGGTGACATTTTTATGTGCTACTCATATCATTACTGTGACATGACCAGTTTAGTTATTGTTGCCTACCCTCCGTACATGTACATTGTACATGTACAATGTACATATACATTGTACATGTACATGTACATGGACTCTCACATTCTTCAAACTCCACCTTGAGATGTTGGAAGATTTTTCAGGATTGAGAGTGCCCAGCCGCTGTTACTGTACGTGGGATTCTGGAAGTTTAAGTTCAGAGTAAAAATGGACGCAACAATCAGTTCCTGTAAACTGGGAGATTTTTTGAAGCTTCCAGAGGGTGCTCTGCAGAAATAGTTAAAGAAATGGAATCAAGCAAGCCTGTCCATATTTACTGTGGCTTCTATTGCAGGCTGGTGTACATGTATTTCTCTGGTTTCCTTGACATGAAATGACAGAAACTGTCTCTGTTTCTTTCTGGACGGGATACTAGTTTATCAGGGGTAGATAATACTTGTATCCATTTTTACTCCGGGGTCGAGAGATGCAAGTTGGGGGTGGTAGTGGCTTGCCCATAGCTGTGGGGGATTTATGACTGAACAATGTTCAACACATAGATTCTTCTAGATTCTCTGAAAAAGGTTATGCCTTTTCAAATTGTGCATAGAATTTTTATCACACATGTACAATATGATTCATTTTAGGCTATAACCTTTTTGTTTGGGTTGTCTTTGTTTCATAGTTTACTGTGCATCTACGTTGGGCCAGCATGAAATCTTTATCTCCACTGCCACTGAATACAAGCCTTTCTTCTACATCAATGTTGTAGATATAGAGGCATTGGAATCAGAGGTGTCCTATATTGCATGTAAGTGGAAACAGTCATTCCAGATTGATCTTTTTATCACCGTATCAGGCTTTGGATAATAATTAACAATTTGTTTATTTATAAAGCCCAAATCTCATACAGATATGTTCAATTGGAATGTTTTCCTGACAAATTAATACCTGATCTACTCTGATGAATAAGTTTATATATGCGATAAAACAGACTAAAGTGCTTTGTGTAGGATGTGGGAAAAAATTGAAATGGAGGCTCGGAACCCACGTAGATTCTAAGAAATAGTCTGATACCATCTTGTACAACAGTTAACAATTTACAAAAAAAGTTCATTGAAGAAGATCAAAAATGGGTGCTTCAGGAATAAGGTGTATTGTTGCAGTTATTGTATGATTTGTACTTGGTTTCATCAAGCATCCTGTGTGCTCGATTTCTCCAGGCACAACCGAGAAAGTCTTTCAAGAGAAGGACTCGCTGTACGACGTGTACGTGGACAACCAGAACGTCTCTGCCCACTCGGCCAACCTCAAGACCATGGCCAAAATCAACAGCATGGACAAGGAGAAGTTCAATCGGCTGAATAACCACCGCTGCGCTATGATGTTCCGTGCTCAGGAGCTGGGAGAGGAGTTGGATGATGATCAGACCTTTGCTTCGTAAGTTACAATGCTTGATGCTGAGTTTTTCTGAGGGTTCTAATTTAACTGGGGGATGGCAGTTGATCGGTACATTTGAAAAAAGTGATAAATCTTTAATGGGAAATTCAACATCTTGTATGATCACAGCTATATTAAATTACCAAATCACCAACTCGCTGTGCAAAGTTAAGCCTACTTGGTGTGTCCATGTTTGTGCACAAACCTGTAGAAAACTTAAAATTTAGTAGCATAGAACACTTATCTTATTTGTGTAAGTTGTACCTGCTTGTTGCATTTAGAATACCTTATTTGGAATTTATTCCATCTTATTTCATTAGTTTCTACAAACTTACACATGAATCCAAAGTGTCTGCTTTCAGGATGCGTCAAAAGTCTCTCATCACAAGAGAATGAGGAGTTAGTGCTTCAGTAACTTAATATAGCCCCATGGATAGGATGCCCTTTGACTAATTGCATCACCCTATTTGGGGACCTGTGAGAGCAAAAATGATTTTGTTTACAGTTGTGGATTTTTGTATAACTCAGGAAGGTTTTACCAGCAAATATTTTGAATAACTGAGGGTCATTCTATCACCTTCCTGATATTTGATGCTCGTGTGGGCTTTTGATGTTGAGATTTTTATGCAGTCATGTTTTAATATTCTTTTACTCCTAGATTTTTCCTGGAACAGAACAACCACATCTTCCAGACGCTGTTGGACGTGTCAGAGAGCCAGGACAAGGCCCTGACCACTGACCACATGAAGGCCATGGGACTGGACCCCATCCATGACCGGCAGTTCATCATGGACCTCGTGGAGCTGTACGGCATTGATGTCATACTCATGGTGGACAACCCGTGCTGTCCAGTATGAACCGGTTCAGACGGGCCAAGACCCGTATTACAGACCTCTTGGGATCCAGCTGCTGGCAAGCAGTCTGTGTGGAGTTCCATGGCATCAGTGTCATGATCATGGTGGACAAGGTATATTGTCCAGTGTAAACCAGTTGAGACCAGCTGTGGCCTGCTACACAGACTAAGTGGATCAGGTTGCCAGAAAGCAGTTAATCATGGACGTATTGGAGCTCCATGGCATTGATGTCATACATGTAGTTCTCCTAAATCGGTTCAGACTGGCCAAGACCACAACACTCCAACTGGATCTGGTTGCTGATGAGCAGTTCACCATGAACCCGATGGAACTGCGTGGCACTGACGTCATACTGATGGCAGACAACTCATGCCGTCCCGGACTTCATGGAAGCTCTCCAATAATGTTCTGGTATTCAAATTGGACAACGTTTGCAGTCCAGTATAAACTGGTTCATACTAACTGTTCATGTACATTTAGAGCATGACTACTTGGTGCAAGCAAGCACTAAAAGTGATCTTAACCACCTCCTGCTGGGGCAGTTATCAATGTTGATGATGCTGGGCCGAGATATTTATCATTTTTTTCCGTTTTGAAAATTCTTTGAAAATTCCTATCTTCATTTCCTGGACACTTACAAACACGTGAAGGACTGTCTGGTGTCCACTCTGGCCTGACAGACAAAATCAATTGACGCCTGAGTATTTCAACCAGGCATGTAGCCTTGTAAAACAGTGTAAAAAGAGCCCAGATTGTGCGGTGTTATATAACTTTCTTTTGTTCACGAACCTGGCTCAGTGTGCTGCTGACCTCTTTTCAATAGGGGCCAGATTAGCGTGCAGCGGTGCTGTGTGGCTCATCGCTGCGGTGGTGGAGCACTTTTTTCCCCGGTGGTAATCCGCTCGCTGTAAATGCCCCAAACCTTGGTATACTGTTTTAAAACAAGGCTGGATTATCTCCATTTTTGAGAGTGAAAAAATGTCGGTAATTCCCGGCAGCCTGGTCGTTTGTTCCAAGTATGGTCTTTTGTTACAAGGCCCTGTTCTCTTTGTCCGAGTTCGGAGACCCCGGCCACGCAAAAAAGCATACACGTCCGGAACCAGAATCCCCGGCAGGGAGTGGTTAAGTTGACCTCTCCCACTAAGAGGTCATTAGGATGATCACTTGCTGGGCTGGTTGCTGATCCTGTTATCTGAGAGAGATACTGAGACATGGTTTCAACTGGATCACATTGAGCATACATTATGTCATGTTGTAGAACGGCAATAAACGTAGTACAGCTGAATAAGTCCAAATTCCATATCAATGGGTCATTCGAAAAAGAACTACATCCAGCAAGCAGTCAAATCGCTTGCCAATAATTTAAGTTTCCTAATAATTTAAGTTTCCTAGTGCGTATTACAGGGCACTTTCTGACAACTGTTATGCCCTCTACTGATCCAAGTGTGAAATTATTTGGCTAAAAAAAGGAGGAAGATAAAAATCCCATAAAATTTCTTCTTGGTTGTACGTGTACCTTTGTATTTTCATGGAACTCTGGAGGCAGAGGAAGGATTTAGCGAGCCAATAACTGCCATTCAATCACTGTGGAGTTTTTTGACCCCCTAACCATAGCCATCCATGAACAAGTCTTGTCATTTCATTGTCTTCATGCCTGCCGCTTGTTGGCAGAAACCAACAGAGGGCTCTTCCCATTACGAATTAATGGAGTTCCTCTGCTGTCTGATTTGGTCGGAATAACAAGCGACTTAAAAATCATCTTGGATATTTAAACTAGGGTGCAAATTTGAGGGCATATCAGGGCACCAGATGTATTTCAGATTCCCACATCGTACGATTTATTAAACTGACACTGTGTCCTCACTGGTTTTTGTGGTTCCAGATAAACTGTGGGTCACTACATCTGTGTGGTTAGGTCTTGAGTTTGTTATTGCAATCTAATTTATGACACATTGTTGCTTTTGGCTGACTCATGGCTCTTCTTTTGTATTTTTCAGCTCCTGGTTTATGCAGTTTTAAATCTGAATTCACTGCCAGTGAAAATAATGTGATCGGCGATGGGCTGAAAGCTTTTTGATGATTATGTGTAAGAGTGAAGATTTGTCTTAGAAAAAAAAATGTGCAAGATTGGGTCCTATACTTAAATATTTGTATTTTATGAAGAATAGCTTCAAAATTATGTCTCCAAGACGTGGACATGCAACATTGAGGTGGAGTTCCAAACTTCAATGTTTTTCATCATGTTTTTGATGATTTTCAAGAGATCCATTTCATTGCATGATCATTCATCATTGTAGTTCAAGTATTTATGTAATCGCAAACAACATGCTCTCTCTGTCTCCTGTGAATCTCTGAGACAGTCAAGCTGAAGTAATATATGTAACCTATATTTGAATATTTATGATGTATATTTAATGAGATAATGTGTGTAAATACTGTTTTTTACAATCAAGTAATAATATTTTTGTGGGAATGCACTCATTGAAATATTTACAGAGGTGTAGGTTATGGTCAATCAGGTGAAAACTATAAAACATGCAAATGTGTATATGACTACTACGGGAGAGGCTGTACCAGGAAGCATCACAAGTGTTGTTCCTCTTTCCCTCTCAGTGTGGGTGTTCTCCACCATGGCAGTGCCATGCAAAAATGGAAATTGGTCTTTCTGTATTGGCCTTGTTCATGAGTCAGCCATCTTGAATGTCAAGCGAGGCACTACCTGTAGAACATTTCCCTAAAACCCTCATATGTATGAAAATAAAACTGATGCAGTAGGGGCAAAAATATAGATTACTATTCTTATTCTCCGACGGGTAGTTCCAAGTTATGGGGATGAAAGTCATACTGCCTAGCAGTGCCTTCATGGTCTGCCTAACAAATATTTTCCAAAGTGAGGATTTACCTGAAGTTAGAGTGAAAAATAGGCTTCTTCCCATTCCAGAGTGCTCAATAAAAATGCAGAAATGGCAATCTCGTGAACAAAGCCCATACCATAAGTTCTTATTATTCATAATCCATTAAAGTGTGTCCACAAAATGAAAGTGGAAATGAATACAATACCATGTAAGGATCACTTCATATCCGAGGCCCTTTTTAGTTTCCAAATTACAAATAATAATGAGATGGTTAACTCGGTCCAGTCGCAAGTCCTTTCATGAGTGTTGGAAGTGCACAGCTGCTACTTGAAATTACAACTGTATATGAGTAATGGCAGTAATTACCCACAGAATAGTGTGTAACTTTGAGCTGCAGCCAACTGATTTAGACACAGCCAAAGAGGATGAACCTGCAAGGAGTTGTGGTGGACTCGGCAGTAACAGAACAATGAATTTCCACTTCTCCATTAGCCTTTTGAACACAGCAGATGGGCGCTGTTTGGTTTGGGTTAAATCTTTTGTGTTTACTCTAAATTTACCCACTTCAAATAGCGCCCTCCTATTGTGTCTGCCATGCATCAAAAAGGCTAATGGACTTGTCCACAAGCTACATGTCAGTATGGGTACATGTAGTCTAGGCATCTATTTTGGTATCCTGGCCTCTGCTTGATGCAGTGGGCAGTCTTGTCATCTCACTTGAGTGTGCCATGGCGGCTTTGTACTCATTCAGTTGAAAATTAATTGAGCAACCCAACCTTCCCTTGCATATTTGTGATTTACCTGTGATGCTTAATGATGGTAAATGCACTCACAGTGTTCTCCCCCTCGCTTATCAAAAAGTTGGCCACATACCCCCACAACTGGTTTTATTTTGTGAGTTTTGGTTCCTTAATTTTGGAAGTCACCGAGATCAAATGCTAAGGCAAGATGGGCATTATTTTCTGGCAGTCCCGAATCCTGATCCTGTAGTTTTGTCTAGCACCCCAGGATGAAGATTGATATTAACAAACATACATGTATGCATGAGACACAGATGATCTTCTTGTAAAATATATTTTTAATATATAGTTGTGCCAGTTTATATAAATGAAAGGTAAAATTTTATCTCTGGTGTGCATAATTTGGACCGAAAATACTGCAGTGCACGCTTGATAACTCAGATTTCAAAGAAATATTTTTCTCTGAAATACAGAATTCAGTGACTACTTATCATGGAAACACAGATTTCAACGATGCTATCTTTTAAACATGGAATTCAGTGATAATGCATTTCTGAATTATGAGACAATCGGTGCATGATAACCTGCTACAGAAAAGTAATTTCCACACACAAATTATATTGAAATGCAGTAACTCATACGGTCATATCTATCGCCCAAGTCTGATGTTTACACTTCCACATGAATGGATATCATAGACTAAACCCTATGATTTTGAAACCTTCGTCTACATGTACATGTATGTGCCATCTGATACTGATTAGTCCAAGTGGATAGCATCTTGACAGATGGATGTTTGCCTAAGAAGTAGCCGTAGGTCTTAGTACTTTAGATTGTTCAGGTCTGAATTTGGATACATGCAAAATAGCCGAATCAGAAGGATGTAAATGAAATGAAATATCATTCAAAATCTCAATCGCCTTGAAAATCATGGAGCAATAAATTGTTAGATGAGTCAGTACGCAGGTTTAAACAAGCTACACTTTAGCATATTGCGAAAACTTGTTGAATCTCGCATGAATGCACCGTATAAGTACTTGATGGGAACGTATGTTTACATTTGTATATTAACAACTCTTGAAGAATATTTGGTTTAAGTTCTTTATGCTCTGTATCAGCAACTGGAAAAAGAAAATGGAAGTTTGTATCTTCGAAACAGATATGGACATATGAACAGATATTGAAACAGGTATCACACTCTATCTTAATGCCTGCTCAGCTTTTTACCTGCATTTTTCCCTTTACAAAAGGTATAATTTTTATTTATATATATTATAAAAAGGAACGCTGTTTATTTTGCTGAAGGCAACCTTCAACATGGTGTGATGTCAAGATATTCAAATTAAAATGGATTTTTGAATTAAAAAATGCTCCTCAGTATTAAGTTTGCACAGCGCTCTTGTTTTAGTCAGTCACGCGAAGTCAAAAAGAACTGCAAATGTATATATTCCTAAATTTGTGCGACGTATTGAAGAATGTACTATGTACAAAACTTGAATAAGAAAATAATGGGAATGACAACATTTAACAGTATTTAACTTGAAATAAAAACTGTGTTTTATTTTGTCACAATGGCTGTTGGTGTCGTGTCCAGATACTAGATTTGTTACTTTGGGCAGTTTGATTTCACCCTGTGGCTTGTTCAAAATCACGTTTATGGATCTGCTGTACATTCTGCAATTTCAACAATAACATTTCTGATTGCTCTTTGGTGAGAGATTTAAAGAGCAGTTTGTGTACCAAGACATTTTGACAATGCTGAAGTGTAGAAGCCAAATTGCAGAATCACTTACCAATACATATTTTTAAGTTCTGGAATTCTTGCAGAGGAATTCATACAAGTGAACTTTTATACCAAGTACTTTCCTCAGCTAGTCTAAATTTTGAATACAGTTCTTGTTTTCCAGAAAAAGGACTTTAACATTTGTTCATGCTTCCTCGGAACCCATTGTAAACAGTCATCCTTCTACACATGAATCAATGTATGAAGCTAATTCATAAGTGGGTTCAACTCGGATGTGATGCTCCCGCACTAAGACACAGTGGTGTAAATCTGCTACCAGTTAATAACGGACTCTGGCAAAATTTAGTCTCTGTACCTGATGGTGATTCCTTGCCTTATGTAGCATGGAAGTTTGCACTTTTCTGTCGATAGGGCCACAAAAACTCAGTTCCATAACTTTTTTTAGTAGATCAAGACATTACTCAGCAAAGCAACAGGCTATATCGCAGACGTATGGTGGAAATGGTGCATGGGTATTCAACTATCGGGGTAGGCTCTTCATTTGAACTGCTTACTGAATTCATATTGTTATCTGTCCACATACAACCACATGCAAACTTGTGTTCCTATGGATATGCTCGGATTTTCCAAATGCGACAGTTTTCAAACACACAATTCAACGGGAGAAATTCACCCCTGGAGCTTGCCACATTGGGAAGTTTGCCATCATTCCTGGCCTTTTGATCTCGTGTTTCGCAACTGCTTATCTTGGAGTCTCCTGTCTGGGAAGTTGGGCCAGAAGCCACGGATCTTGGCTCTCTTGTCCTTGGGCATGTACTTGAGGAGGTACTGCAGGGCCTTCTTGTGGGGCCACTTCTTCTGCTCGGCAATGTACAGCTTCGGGTGGTCATACTCAAAGATGGGTTCGCGCATACCTGATAGGAATGAGAGATGAAAGGATCAGCCCACTGCCAAAAACACAAGAATGGTGTGTGGGAAGAACGATGCTGTATGGCCCAGTCACAAGAGCCACTTTGTGTAGGGTACTGTTTGTGCACCTACTGTACATTGTGAATTACAAGACAGGATCAACTTTTGTCAGGACGTGTATGGACACAGAACAGTGAGTGTGTATTAAACCAATTCAAGTGAGGCAGGGTGTGCAGGTCATAGTATGTACATGTAGATGTCCACGCCCTAATCTTTGCACATACTGCATATGTACAGTGTGCAGAGCACAGACCACTTTTCATTAGGGGAACACAGATGAGATTATGCACTACAAACAACCTGTGAGGTAGCTATGCAGCCTATTCTACTGAGCCAATGTGCCGGAGGCATGTTACCCATGTGCTAATTTTGTGCATGTACAGCATGGAATTGCACGACCAAATTTCATCAGAATGTGCACAAACCCACTGAAGTGCATAAGCACGCGCACACAGTACCCCTGAATCTCAGAGAATCCATAACCTCTCTCATTTTCTCCACACAGAGCAGCAGGTTGTTTGTAGAGTCCAAATTTTTGGCCACAGAAAAAAAAATTATTGCAAACATGCTTGTTGCTTGTTACCTAGAGTCTGATGGAATGTCTCTCTGACAGAAGAGTCCCAACGAGACTGGAAGAACCCCAGGCCTGCTGGCGTGATCATGTCCTGGTACTGCCTGTAGAACTCTAACGTTTCAAACGTTCTCTCTCGTAGTTTACGACTGCAAAAAAGTAGGCAAGTTGAAGCTTGTGAAACACCATCTCGTCCACTGAAGTATATACATGTGTATGTAATTTAGATGAGAACAAATATCTGTATTTTGAGGACAATAGTAAACTAACATAAAAAGCTGAAATGCAAGTCTGTATTGCGTACGGTCTCCATCAAATCCAAGAATTTAGAAAAGTTCTTGTAAATCATGCAATAAAATTGGTGAAGAAACTTCCAGGTTGTTGTGCACAGCCCTTTGCTACTTGTCTACACCTACACAGCAGAAAAACTCCATACCAGAATACAAGTAAACGTCATATCTGCACATAAATATAAATTTACTACTTATGACTAAATCAAGCAGGTGAATCTTTACAAAAAGCATCTTACCAAGTAGGAATAAGTTATCACCAACTTGGACTAAAATAAGAAGTGAGTAATTCTTACTGGTCATCCAGGGAGCATTGCTGACCGGTTAATAAGCAAACGCGTATTAGTTTAAAGCCTACCCCCTACGATGTATGTAAAACTATATTGAAATGAGAGGATTTGAGACTGTTAGGGCTACCAGAAAGCAATGCTGTAAAATTTCCTTCACAAAACATTACACTACATATTTGCATTTTCACAAGATGAATATTCAGTGCAACATGGGAACACTTACCATGGTAGACTGACTGCTCGACTACTGTAATCGACCCTGCCTTCCTGTTGAAAGAGCACGAAGACAAAGCGGTGGTAACCGGTACCCTGTGCTGGGAATGGTGGCAGGTAATTAAATATCTCTTCACCTTGACTCAGCTGGTTACCGGGGATGTTGCCTCTGTGACAGGAAAGTGTGTCAAACGTGGAAAGAGTCAAAAAGACAGATTTACAAACTGTTCTTCCAAAATTTGAAATGGAATGTTGGCAATGTTGTACTCACATCAACCAATGGACATACTCCTTGTGATTATCCAACAAATGGCCATCTATAAAAAGAAGTGGAAAGGAATAGGACAATAAGATACTATCACAGGCCAAAATCATTTATGTCATAACAGAATAAAGTAACAGGGGTTTGGGTAGCTTTATGTGACTGAAGATGATAGAAGATGACAGAATGCATTTGACTGAAGAGACAACAGTATGATGATAATGAAGATAATGATGCCATGCATTTGACTTTGTGTCAATGCAAAAAAGTCTCCAAATTTAAAAAGGCGAAGGCTTTTCTCTAGCAAAGAAGCTCAAGCGTCAACCATAACATACCCATAAAAAAAGACAAACAAACCAAACAAAACTGAAAACCAAGCTATGATTTGGTTTCTTGATGCAATGCCCTTCTGGCACACTTCAATTTTTTTCACATTACACATATGGGTGTTAAATGTGGGAACTTTTCAAACCTCTTGATCATTTTCTGTGACAAGAAACTACTTTTTTCCTGTTCACTGAAGTCTGTTGACTGGGTACTCTCAACTTCTCTTTGGTTAGCTGTTAAGTAGGCCAAGGGTATGAAAGAACAATGCTGGTAGACTTTTAATGTTTAAGAATTCTTGATTTATCTATTATTATCACCTGGGTTAGTAAGCAACATGGTCCATAGGGTGTCCTCGGAACTCTCAAATGTTACAGCCGGTGGCTGTGAAGCCTGCAGGAAAATATATAAATTACAACACATTATTACATACCATTTGTTTCATTCCGCAATGTAAATGCACAGAATATTACACAAAAACACTGCAATTAGGGTACAACTGCAGAGACTCAAGGTTAGTTTCTTGGAGCCCAGCAATAAATTGATTTAACAGTTGTTTTGACACAGCTCCTTGAATTCATCCCCAAATTTAGTCTGGTTCTCAGATGGAAAGTTACTGACTACTTGGAGAGGTATATTACTGCCAGTTGTGATTTTCTAGGGAGGAATTCCTCCCCTTTCCAAAAATATACAAAACTGGGCAAAATTTTCATGACCCGTTTCACTGACATTTGGGCACTATTGTCAATATCAACTACGACTGTAAAAATTCCTCGATATTTCTAAAGAATTTTATTTGCCTATGTGATCGTTTCATCCAAAATTTGGAGACATCCAAGACATAATATCATACAATATGTAAGTGGAGTATAGCTACAAATGTGCCTGCTGCTAGTAGTTTTGATAAGGCAGGGGACCAGCCTACAGTACCAAAGAACTCACCTCAGTGGGTGTAACAAAATTGCCAGAGTAGACAGGCGCTGCCTCGTCCTCTGTAACACCGTAGTCGATCTTGAGGACGACTTGAGGCAGGAAGTCAGCCCCGTCGAAGAGGTCCCTGAAGATGGCATAGTGATGAGCGACGGAGCGGAGGTGATAAGGCATGCTGGTACGTTGCCACTCTTCATTCACTTTGTCCAAGGGGACTTGCACTGTGGGGTGGGGGGGGGAGAGCAGATGTCTTAGAATGAATGTATGGAATGACAACAAACTGACAAACTCAAAAAAAAAAAAACCAGTTTGAATACTTCAATGGGCCCCCTTAAACCCATCCACAACTGTGTCTCATTGTCAGAAAATGTACTCCCAACCTCATGGAAAGACCTTTGTATCGCTGGTGGCAGAAGGGAAATGGGGCCAAAGGATGGCGGAACCAAGGGAATGTTTGTCCTTGCCAAAATTTCAAAATTTATACTTTTGATCCCACTTTCGGATTCCAACCACACAGGAACATACAATGTGTCCCAGAGGAGAAGTTGTAGGTTTAAGGTGAAGCATTAACCCTAACAGTCCTTAGTCCTCCAACAGGTGAAGGATTGAGGACTGTTAGGGTTAAGGTTAGGGTCATGGTTAGCATTGAGCTTTCAGAGATGCTGTGCAGCCCCTGGTACATTGTAGGTGTTGACTTTCTGCTCAACTCACATGTTCTATGCCTGGCGGCCCTCTCAAGTTCAGCATTGCTCTTGTTCTGTCTATTCCTGGCCAACCTCTCTTTCAGCACAACCTTACCAGACGGTGGAGTGTGTGGAAGACCGATGTCAATACCTGCCGACGCTAAGATAGAAAAAAAATATCTCTGCATCTTTTGTTGTGCGAAATGCACTGAAAGATAAAACCCAAAACTGTTGCCACTTTTGGTCATGAATTCTAAGGATTTTGATTTGGGGTGATACAATGTCCGAGCTAATTTGAATGAAATCGATTAATGGAAGGGAAAGTGACAAGAGTCCCATATTGGGACATCACTTGACACCCTATGCACAAACCCTACAAGCCAAGTTTGAAAAATTCCAAGTGTTTTCTCAGTAAAACGCTTCAATATTTTCACTGGTAAACATGATAAATTTGACTTTTTAGGACATGTTATCACTTTCTGATGGCTAATAAACTACCAGCGGAGAAATTAGTGATGTCCGTACATGGAACCCTTACTGGGAAAGCCTATGAAGGGGAAACAGGTCAACTCATATACATGTACATGCTAAATCATATACTGACCAACCCGTATGCGGATTGGTCAACCTGTACGCCGACGAACTATTACGTTGACTAACTCGTAGGCCGCAACATGACATGCTTTTGGTTTTAGTCTCAATTCTGGAATCAAATGACCAGAAAATGTTAAAAACTGCTCTTTTTAGAGCTACAAATTTTTACAAAATAGTTTGTTTTCAAAGAATAGCATCAAGAATAAACATTGAAATTCATAAATATAATGTCGTCAAGAAATGTAAATACAAGGCAGAGCCACTAATTTTACTAAAGTGGCTTGTATTAGTTAAAGTTTAATCAGCATCAATATACACAACAGCACACACGCAATATTCAACAGGTGCATGGCTGTAACGGTGATGTGGCATGCATGCTGTTGAAGCACACGGTCTTCACAGGCATTTTGGCTGCACCACCGATCAGTTGCTAGTTTGCCAGTGTAGGAGATGGTAAATCTGTCCCCTGGTCCTTTTATTTATTCAGAGTAAAAGTGTGGACGATGTTGTCTGTCCATTTTAGGCACTGACGATTGAGTTGTTCCGAATCCAGTTGGCAAATGGTCAAGTTGTCCAAACTCCAACGGTCCAATTTGGTGTACGAGTTGGTTGGCGTATGAGTTGGTCGGTGTACAAGTTGGCTATTGCCAGAACTTTGGGGTCTGATGTCCGCCCTGCTCCCACAAACAGAGCTTGGTGGTTTCGAACCCTACAGTTCTGGGGTATGAGTTGGCATACGTACGAGTTGACCAGCATTCACGAGGGGTAGGCTACCAACTTGGACTCTACTACATGTAGGCCCATTGAATGACCATGTCCAAATGTTCAACAGGGTGATTCGCAAAGCCCAAGTTACTTGGACTAGGCCTAGTCATACAGATTGGCAATACAATTGTACGATGTTGTTACGTGTAGTCATGCTATTTAGCGTGAGTAGCGTCAACAAGCGTCAACACACACGAGTAGTGTCAACAAAGCAGCGACAACTTGAAAATATCCTCTAAAGATTTTAAAGTGGTTTTATCATATTTTATAGAATCTAACAGGTTCCACTGTGTAAGACAAACAGGGAATTTTCTCCCAGATTTATGCAAGAAAAACAAAAATATTTTGTGATGTATGGGGGCCGCCATCTTTTCTTTTTTCTGCCGTCCATGCAAAAACAAGACTAAGCCTGTTTGGGCTGCACGAGCAGAGCCGACTTTGTCACTCAAACTTCCACACTCAAATACCGTTTTGGATAAATGTGATATACTAAGTATGATATGTACATGCTGTAGAAGCCTTATTAATATTACAATAACTATACATTTTTTGCATAAATATGCTTGAATAACTTATTGATGCTTTGTTGATGCTTGTTGATGCTAAACAGCATGACCCGTAACTTGTGTGCAGGCCTACATGTACCTGTATGGTGCGTGGCATAATGTCCCACTTACCACTTACATGTACCAATAAAAGTGTGCCATGATACCAACACGTTATAACAGCATAAATGTTAGAGACTTAGACGTTAGAGAAAAAATAAGTTTCCAGTTTCGATGTTGCAGCCATGGTATACTTAGGCATTAATAAGTGAGGGTGCTGAATTTAAACTTCAAACTTTGTCCACGCTGTAGCTCCTCCTTTTGAAATTTAAGCTGAAGCTAGCATTTAATTCTTTGAAATAAGGCACAAAGACATGTATGTAAGAACAAAGATTTTACACAAATATGAATTTTGAGGTTTTCAATTAATATCCACTCATTTTTCTGTACAAATTAATCACTGTTTGCTCTCTAGCCATGGTCAATGATGAACAGGTCGTCCTTGCTCATATGATCCGCGCAGCGCACCGTAGGCCACATTAATGGGACTAGATCAGATAATAATCATAGGCTATTTGTAATCAATAATCAGTGATTTAATGTTGACAGTTGACATGGTTGATAACGTTGACTGCCTGCCCTGGCAATGGGCCCTGAAGTAGGGGCCTATACATGTTTGTGTACAAAATTTGCAAGAATGATACCTCCAGCATAAGGGTTACCCGAGTGACAACTTGTAGTAGGCCTTTGATGTATATTCATCTGTCTTCTCATACTGCTGGCTCTTGAAATATCAAGACAAGATATTCTTAACAACTGACGGCAAAAGTTCCCCATGGGAGCAGCCATTTTGGTCTAAACCATCTAAACGCTTGGTGGCGCTATTGTAAATTTACCACACGACGAATTAATAACGAAGCGGTGGCGCGGCAGGGAGGCTTATCATCTCGTCTGCTTTCGTACGAACTCGTCTGTTTTGGAGTCCTCAGAAAGATTTCTGTTTCTTAGGACATCGTTGAAATCGACGTGGTTATATTTGGCGTTTATGTCTCGGTTGGGCTTGCTACACTAAAGGCAATTTCATTCACGTGTTTTCTGACGATCTGAGATTCTACACAATGTTTTCCTTTCTGGTAAGTTTGGGCATGTCGGGCATTTTATGTAATGTCGAATTATCCTGGGGAAATCCCATTTGCAGCAGGCTACACGTAACTACACCATTTTCAGCACACTCTCACAGTGTAGACCTTATACTATAGGCAGGGGTTTTCCAACTTGGAAAACCCCGCAAAGTTTGTTATTGAGAAAGATATACATGTAGTTAACATGGTTAGAGAAAGGACTAATAATGCCATAAAAGGGTTCAGGAAGTAAGCCTTTGCCTTATTGTTATAAAGCATGGGTGATTTTGCACAGTGGTAGAAAGGCATTGTGGGAAGGAAATGGGAGCAATGTTTGCTCCTTTTTCCTTCCCATAATGCCTTTTTACTATTGTGCAAAATCACCCATGCGGTATCAGGAATGAGGCCCACAGACAAGATTTCTGGTTTCACAGACACCGGACATGAACATGATGAAATACAAACATGACTTACATGTACATGTGACAAGTTGAAATTAACTTTTAGGTTAGTATTGTTATGCCCTAACTGTAGCATCAGTCCCAGCTATACATGTAGTTGGGCACAATCCAACTGGAGCGCTATAGTTGGGCCAGCCCAACTAGAGCGCTATAGTTGGGCCAGCCCAACTAGAGCGCTATAGTTGGGCCAGCCCAACTAGAGTGCTATAGTTGGGCCAGCCCAACTAGAGCGCTATAGTTGGGCCAGCCAAACTGGAGCGCTATAGTTGGGCCAGCCCAACTACAGCTCAGAGGTCCTGTGTGCATTTGCCCAGCATGTGCCAAATTAAAGTCATATTGTTTACAATGAATTGTGTCAAGTATGTGATGTGTAAACTTGGATAAGGTTGAGAAATTTTCTACAGAAATTGGTCAACTGTACAACTGCAGTTGGGCTGTAAGTTAGGCCTATCATTATCAGTCATATTATCTTTTTTGTAAATTTGTAGTGGAAATTGTAGCACATTACATTACACCAACTTATTGTTTTGAATATTTAAAACTTCATGAAATAAAAGGTGTGCGTAAGTCCAAAATTCCTGTTTTACAACTGAAGTCATGAGGACACTGCTGGAAAATACATCATTCTTGCCAATTATGTTAGCTGAAGACGTAAGCCTGGGTAAAAAGTTATGTGAGAGAGTAGCAGGCTCCAATAAGTCAGAGTAGTGGAACAATAAGTAAGGCATGCCCCTCATGTTGACATGATGTAGTCTGAGTGATTTGGACCTTGCTTATCACCTTTTTCTAACATTAGTCTGTTAGGACATTATCCTGCAATAGTCCCCAGATCATGGTGGGGCAGAAACTTACCGATATCAATGCTTGGACCTTACACACTCCCTGAAGAAATCCAGCCTGGCTTGAAAATCTGGCTCCAAAATTCTTGAACTCGCCAAGCAGAACCATTTTCAACTCATGAGATTCCCTCAGATTTATTGGCATTTTATTTGGTGCAGGTGGGATTTGTCTCAGGTACAGCAGTTGGAATCTACCTGTCACAGAATTATGAGGTTAGTGTATTTTTGTCTCCGGTACAGAAAATCCCTTGTGCACCTTTACTGCAAACAAAATGAAACTGCAGACGTGAAATTCTACCACCTTCACAAACAGGCCGCCTTCTGTTCATTAAAAAAAGTCATGAAACATTTGTAGCCCCTTCTTCCAAAACTTACGCCCCAATGCCTTTCAATTTGTATTTTGTTCTCATTCGTGTGCCAGGTCCCAGATATGAAGAAAGTCGTGGACACCATCAAAGAATCGGCTAAGAGATACGAGAAGAAATCTGACGGGGCAACAAAGAACGACTCGTGATAACAGAAGAAATAGATAGCAAAGATGACGGTGCATAGGAATGAGCACAGTGTAATTAATACCGTCTGTGACTGTCTGGAACAGTCTGAGATGGTGATCAGAGGCTGATATTCAACAAAGCATGGACATCTGATGACAGCGAGTCCTAGTGAGCTCAAGGAGAAAGAGTTACATGTAGCACTCTTCCCCACATCCCATAGAAATGCTAACCTCCCTGAGTCAACTTTGAGTTAACCCACTTGTCATTGAACCACTCAAAACAACTCCAGCCAGTCACTTTATTGCTGGAATTCTCTGCCAGCTTTGGGTGGTTCAGTGACCAAAACATCAAAGCAGCGCATGTATGGATTATTACTTGCAGATTGCATCAATTTGTACCTTAGATAGGGACTTAGTATTCCAAATTTGATAGGAGTGCGGAAACACAGAATGCACCATTGTCAGGGCACAGCATTCAGTTGTGATGGCTTCATGATGTACAGCATGCTGGAGTCACCTGGTGTCACATACATGTACATCCATGACTGACTTGTGCCAGGTATTTTGGTTTGCAGTCATATGACAGTCACATGACTGAGATTGGTTGAAGCAATGGATCACAATTTGTTGTACATAGGTCTAGTACGTAAGTACATGTACATACATGTATTGTTGGTTTGACAGTGTCAAATTGACACTGGAAAAATGTGAAAACTGACAACCAGACAATACTTTTGAAGTTGTTCTTAGTTCTTAAACTGAGATTGGTTGTGAAGTTGTTCCTAGTTCTTAAATTCACTATCTAGACTGTAATTGAATCCATTGTTCATGTACATGTAAGTTGTTTAATCACAATACCAATCATAAGACCAGTCACAAGACCAGTCACAAGATCCAATTGTAAGTGAAAGTGTAAACAGTGACAAAGGAATGGTTTTGTTCCCAGTTTATTTAAATAGTTTGTGACCTTGCTTCAGACTGAATAATTTGTGATGGGCTAACAGGGACTTACAACAGACTCAACCACAGCCTTACATGACATACCATTAAAAGTGATAAATGTTGGCCAAGTTTGTTTTTAGTAATGCCACCGATGTGTGATACATATTTGTATATGTGCAAATATAAGTTGTTCACTTTTGGTATGACACGTGATAAAATAAAGTTTTCTTTTGTTTCCAAACCCCATGTAATAGGATTATTTTGATTATATTCTGCTTAGCCTTTGCTGTAGATCACCACGCTGTGATTCCTTGCTTAGTTCATCTCGGTCAAAGTGTCTATCAGAGCTAAGTCACAGCAGGGGAAAGTTGCCTCAGAATGGTTTCTCTTGATGCCTGTGGTTGATTTGGAATAGACGTTGATTAGACTTTTTTTTTTTCTAAATTGCAATTGAAATTGTGATTACTTGATAGAGCCGCCACCACCACAGCAAAATACTTCAAGCAAAATCAGCACACAAGTCCAAATCACATGTACAGTTGTATATTGCTATTGCCAGCTCTGAATTCACAAGACTTCTGTTTGTTGTGATCCGAACTGATGGGCAGTGTTTCAAACATTATTAGCTTTTAGTGTGTACAGACATGTACGTATTGGTACATTCAATTTGTCTCACTGTCTTGGAGTGCTGGGTTGCAATGAAAGATTTGTAGTAAACAATCCATTTGTGCAGTACAAAGAAATCATTAATGACTTTTGTATCAAGTTCAGATTAAGAAAACATCTTCACAAAACTAATTAAAGATGGAATACATTTCAAATCCCTACTTATTCTGGAAGGAGTTTTGCATTGATACAAGGATTCTCTGATTTTATCAGGTTATGATTGGATAATGTCCACTTTTTGAATAAGTCTTCTTGATAAATGGTGACAGTGGATGGCAACATCTACTAGGCGAATTAATTGTGTTTTACATGTATACATGCATGTGCTACAAATAATGGTTATCAGAAAATACAGTTTTTTTCTTCACTTTCTTTCATGACTCAAAGACTGTTGTTGAAACATTCCTAATACATTGCTTTTTGTTCTTTACACAGTTGGAGTTGTATCATATTAATCTACGTAGTTTCCATGTGCATCACTACGCCATTCAATTCTTTTTTGTAGTTATCGTGGGAGGAACATTTTTGTGTGTGGTTGCATTTGTTCTAATTTATGTAAGTCCACAAAATAGGAGTCAGAATTTCATATGAACTGGGAAAGTGTTTTAAAATCAGTTGGGATCTTTATCATCCGTGGAAAGCCAACCACCGTGACGGACTCTCAACCAACATAGGAATGGGTGTCTGGGCGTTTATAAATATTCATCAATATTTAAGACAGTTTCCTAAATCTGTCTATTTAAATCTATTCCCTACTAGATTTTAATCACTTTCACGATTCTTATATATATTCTTACTCCTAGTTTATGGACTCTAAAATCGTGCACATCAATGAGTATGTGCCAATTTCCAACTGGGGGTTTTGTATTGCGCATTCTAGGCACATACCATACATGTGGCCAGAGGGGGTGTTTCACAAACCACAACAGCGAATAAAATTCTTGGAATTGGAAAATTATAAATTTTTGACTTACTTTTTATTTTTCATCAAAGAGGCATTTATGGATGAGAATTAAAGTGTGATAGGGTGGTTTTTAAACTAGTACATTTCAAAGCGGCTCTGGATCTAGCACTGATAACAGACTTCACCTTTGGCTCAAACCAGATAGGGTCCACAGGATGAAAACTTGCCACCCTACTCATCTATCAGATCGACAGGACACTCCACATAATATGAGCATGCTAATATTACATTCAATACGTCATTCAACTACAGTTCAATTACATTCCAGTTCAATACAACATATTCCACTGCCTCCTCAAGAAGTTATGAATTGCTCGTGTTCTCTCGCCCTGTATAACAAAAGTTGCAACCCAGTCCTGTTTCTGGGCCAACTAAAAGCACCTCCCCAAGTTGAAATACCAAAAAGAAGCATTCCTGAGAGAGAAGGTAGATTGCCAAGATGGCAGTGGATGGAAATAAGTGATTGACACCATCTGTGATCATTGGGAGCATTGCTTAGAGACTAGTTAACTAAGCATACTCGGACGATTGTAGGGGAACCTAAGCTAAGAATGAAGAGTTTGCTCTCCTCCAGCCCTGCCATGGGTCTGGTCCTCTGTGACTCCTATCAGAGTACCCAGTTGTCAGTAAATCACTTCAATACTGTCCCTGCCAATTACCATTTCACTGGCAAAAGGTTCAAGCAGTAGTTTGATGTACTCACACCTGTGAAGTGTATCACCTTGGTCCTTTTCACAGCACACATAATTAGATCTGTCTAGTTCCATTTGCCACAAGGGCAATAACATGTTCTCTTTTTTGGCTCCCCAGGTTCAATTAGCTATACTTTTACCGTTGCCAAGATTGTGCACTTTGTTTACTAGTGATTGAAAGAAATAACCCTTTTAAGCTTCCATGCTTAGTAAATTGCGTTTTGATGCTTTTTCTGCTCTTCCGGCATAGTATAAATTTATGTTTATCCTAGGCTATTTGCCGAGTTCCCAACAGCCTATCCTATCACAGCTTCAATAATTCTGACAAGCAATAAATTTCTTTTGAAGCCTGTGCCATGTGCTACAAGCCAGTGTGAAGGAAAAAGATATGCTGATTGATTGATATGCTTGTCCTTCTTAATTGCAATTTACATGTAAATGTGATGGTAGGCAAGAGTTTCCTGTTAGGAAATGAGGCATATTTCAAACATAAGCAGTACGTCTAACTTCTTGCCAAAATAATGTCCTTCAATCAATGAATGATGACTGCACCGGAACACAGTAGTTTACATGTAGATGATTCATTTATTTTCACCTGTTTATTGATACAATTGTGACTACATACATTTACATGCTTGTAAAGGTACAAGAAGACCTAGATTTTTAATTTTGTCAGGTCCTGAAGAGTGTGGTGATTTACGAATTATATTTCTCATGCTGGAAATAACCTTTGTTGAAACAACTGGCCTGGCATTCTTCACCCCATGTCCAAAATCATGCAAGTCTCTCAATCTGACGAGAGGGAAAAGTTTGCATCATTTCTGGCTTTAAAAAAAGACCTCACAATGTGACAACAGAAAAGCTGAACCACAACCGTTTATCCTGTGTAATCTAGAACACTCCGCTTTCTATCAATTTCAATAGAATTCTTCAACTTTCCTCCGGGGTCAGGCTCTAATCCCATTGGAAGCACAGAAATGGAAACAGGTGTGGACATGCCCTTTGGCAAATCACGAGCAACTTCTCCAACATCCAAAGCTTGAGTCCCTCAGAATGCTTGGTATCTGGTCTCACAGCACAGATTTGTATTTACAGGCAAACATTATCCAAACAGCACATGCCGATTCGGGGTAGGTGAAGACTCGGGCCCGCACGGCAAGCTTGACATAGTCGCCGCGGCAGCATATGATCTCTTCGCACACAGGCGATCTGGGGGAAGAAGTCAAGAACAGGTATCAAACTAAATGCTGTGTGAGGCAAAAAGCTAGCAAGATTTCAGTCTTTGTATTACAAAATGAATGGTATGTGAAAATGATACAAAATATTTTTCCTGATCAGTTCCAAATCCTCCGATTTCAATATGATATTAAAACCTACAGTGCAACTTCTGTATTTGAATTTTTAATCCTAACCTAAGGGTTAAAAATTGTAAATGTAATACGCCCTAGGGGGTTAGGGTTAAAAATTCAAACACAGAAGTTGCACTGTAGGACATTTTTCAAATCAATTTCCTTTTTAAATTTCCTTTTTAAATTTCCTTTTAAAGGACAACACATCTACATTATTCTCCAGGATGGGCTATGATTTTGTGAATCTTACTCGAATTGTTTGTACAAATTAAGAATAAGGTAATAAACCCTGAATAATGAACCTTTATAAATCTGAACTTTTTGTCTAAATAAACCTGAAATAATAGGAAATCCTGAGAAATAGCACTCTGGCCTGCCTACGACGAGTCTCTTAAGATCTCAATCTGCCCATACCCACCTCATGCATGCAGCAAACGCCCGCCTGGCATTTCGGTGCACAAACTGTATGGGGAATCCCTTGAAGGTGTGGCCGTCGGGCACGGCGCGGCGTATGGCCTGCTGGAACTCCTCATTGCCTGCGACCACACCTGCTGACCGCTCCATCTCGTAGGCAGCCAGGGCCGGGGTCAGCAAGTAGGAGAGTTCGGAGTCCCAGATGCACGTCAGGCCCAGATCCTGATGTGAGGAGAAAAATATTGATTCTCTACTAGGAGACTTCAAAAGTCATGACTTCGTCTCCACCTGCATCTTTGGTATTAAAATTTATTTCCCTCACCTGTTACCTGTCTTAGGCAATTTGGCAATCAATAGGTTAAGTATTGTTGTTATGTATTGTTTGGACAGATGCAGGAAAATTAGGTCAGCCTTCACACTTATACATTATTCCTTTACCCCATCACTTATTTTCTTGTCTGACAGGCTTTATTTGTTGTGATAAGTCGCACCAAGGCAAAGGTGATGAATTATCCCTTGCCAATTTCATTTGAAGTACCACATACATGTACTTGCCTTTGCAGAAATGACAGGCCTTTTTGTTAACCTAAATGGGCCAAAACGTCTCCAACAACTACCTTCAATTAGACTTTTTAGATTTCAAGAGTTTGATTCTGCCAATTCTTTCTTGGCAATTGTAAGTCCAAAGTTTTAATATTATCCTCCCTTGTTCTCTGCAAGCAATTAACTGCTGGTAAAGGGGAAACACTCAGTGGTTCAACTTCAAGTAATGTGGCCAAAGTAAAAGTGCCCTTCTCTTACCTTCCTGTGGTCTGAAACCAGACTCCTAAGTGACAGTTCAATCTCGTTACTCACTAAAGCTGCATCAAACGGCGAGGGGACTAACGGAGGCAGATTGGGCCAAGAAGCCTACAAAGAACAAAAATAAGATTGATCAGATGCCACAAAATATTGCTTTCATTCGGTTAAAGTCAGCTTTTCTTGAAGGTTTGGCTACCTGTGGTGTACATAATTTGCCTTGACCTTCAAATTCAAATCAATGACCTGTCACCAGACCTTGAATAAACAGGGTTCCATTCTCTCTTTGATGCTTTGGCGTATGTTTGATGGAAAAAAAATTAACTTACTAAATTCATGTGGTAAGAAAAAATTAGCGGAGAACCGGTGACAGGAAATGTGCAATGTGTGACACTGTGGCCGGTACTAACTCTGCTAAGAAAATATCTCCTGTGCTTAGCAAATGTCTCTGACTTGCTCCACACTGCTTGCACTGAAGGTTTCCTCCTTTGGCTTTCAGGGGAAGTTTCAGATTGGGGGCTGTCCATTGCAAGAAGAAGAGGAAAATTCAAGGAAATCGTGATTAAAGACCAACTCCAACGAGGCTAATTTTTCTCATATCAAAATCTCCCTTGTAATACACGTTTTCGTTTTAATAAAACACACTTTTGTAACCATTTTTCCTGCAAGTCCAGTCCAGTGATGTAAAAATGGGCGTGTCGTCGTGACTCATTAGCATCTCATGAATATTGATTTCTGTGATATATTACCATGGTGAGGAAATACCACAGTACATGCACTTTCTAGCCGTGGACAACAGCATGAACTTGAAGAATGCTCTCATTCTTCCGAAACTCAAAGAATTTCAATCCTAATTCTTTTAGTACATCCATCAATGATGCATAATTTTGGCATTATTATAAATCATGAAGGAGCACCAACTCTTAACGGAAAAGCGATAATGCGGCACAGTGAACTTGGCACAAAGATTGATTCCCAGAATGCAGTGCATGCACAGGTAGCTCCGTGTTCATGTACATACATTTGTAGTGGAACCAGTCCTGACATGGATACCAGTTTCAACGGTTTCTCCGGTATTACATCAAATACAAATTTCGTTTCTCAACAGCGCCACCAGCGGTTAAATTGTGGAAATTTTTCATAAAACTCTGAGACATTGTTCAAAAGTTTCGGCAAAATTACAAAAATACAGAAACAATACAGACTTGATTTAGAAATGAATATAGGATTATTACACACTAAACATAATAACACTTTACTTTCAAAACTTTTGAACTGTTGGAGTTGGTCTTTAAAACTTAAGGTAAAGAGAGAGTTCACAGTGTGAGTTTATCAAGTCCGAACTCCATTTTTTCGTGACTACTCACACAAAAAAAGATATCCACAAAGGGTGTGTATAAACAGAAACATGTTTGCGAGAATGCTGTGTGTCCAGCATGCAGAAGAGCAATCCAGTTAGCTCCAACCATTGTGCACATGGGCAATGAACACGTGTTTCTCTCCACCACCACAATGCATGTTGTAGCTGGTGCTTAAAGGCGCTTGCATGAATGCCAAATATGTTACAGGTGTGTGGGGCTTAGCAGATAAATGCTGCTGGATAACAGCATGCCCCCTCCTCTTTGCTTATCTGCCTCGAGCTGAAGCACCCCCTCATCGGTTGAACAGAGCCGCATTGGTCGGAGCATTCATTTTGTTGGTAGCGACGCGACTGCAATGCTTGTGTTTGCTAGTCGTTCGTGAACCAGCGATGCGCAGTTAGTACCAAAGGAGCCAGCCTCTGTTGCTAAGGAAACACCGTCCTCTCTTGGTCCATCTTGAGGCCCATGGTCTATGCAGAGAGACAGCACAGTTGCATGGACTGACAAATATCCGGTAATCTAGAATCTTTACTGGATATCTTGAAATGAACACCTTACCTGGCTTCCAGAGCCACAGACTGACTGGATGGCATCAACGCTCATTGACTTCCAGAGGGACTCGTCATGGAAGACGAAACGACAGACATCGACATTATCTGATGGCTGAGTGAAAACAGGTGAAATTGTTATTCAGTTTGAGGGCTGTCCTATCAAGAAGCCTTGAGGTTTGCTGCAACAGAAAAATCGGGAGATACAAAACGAAAACGCACAACAGAACTGCAGCAAAGCTACATGGCCTGTTGAACAAAATGTCCTCAAATAAAGATTAGTCACATGAAAACATGACCCTAATCCCCAGGCATTTGGCCAAAACAATTCTGAATCCCGAAAAGCCTACCTCCTTTACCCCAAATTCTGATGACACAGTCCTTGTACTTAAACCTTTGAAGAGGCACCAAACTCCACATAATCTTACAGCACTTCAGCTGTATCATCCTCCATCCAGCAAAATCATGTAGACGCCGTTCGAGTTGACAAGTGCACAGTTTCTCCATTTATGCCCCCTCAAACAATGTGATCTTTGCTCATTGAATTGAGTGTGCTCTACGACAGATGAAAACGTCACCTTCATTTGATTGTGAACTGTGACACAACACGAACTGTTCGTCCGAACCATGGCATGTCCACAAAGTAAACAGGTCACATTGTTAATTGTTTGTTTACCGCCTCATCTCCAAGTGCAAGGAGTGTATTGGTTATCATACCTGGCTGTTTGCATAGAATCGTTGGTGGCTGAAGACACAGCCAATGGTGCGGTAGGGATACTGAGGGCGTGGCTGGTCAACTATGGGCGGATCGTTTGGGTTGATTGGCTGGTGGATATACCTGTAGATTAATAGCCAACATGTTATCAAATGGAAATAAAAAGAACCTCCTTTAAATCATGGATTCTTACAAGCGTGCTATTCAACAGACATAGCTTGACACAAGGTCTATATCAAACCTGGGCTACATTCCTGTCACAGACTTCCTCTATCCACAAAGCTCTTAGTCGTAAATAAATCACACAAGTCGTGTTCAAATTTAAAACAATGCAGCTCACTTGTCACTTGACAAATTTATAAGGTAGTTTACCTTAGATAAGTCAGATTTTGTTTGTGCATGCAGAATGCTTAATGGAAATTCAACAGGTGAATCCATGGTATACAAGCCCATCTGTAACAATCAACTCAATGAATTGATAAATTGTAACAGTCAAACTTCCTCCTGTAACCCTGCTATTGAAAATTGTTGGTAAATCAAAACGAGATACATGTATGCAGAGGCAGAAACAACAACCAAAACTGATCCGTGAAAGCCAAAATAAAGCTGAGTAGTTCTGACTTTAAATGCTTGCAGGGAATTTGTTATCAACAAGCTCACCTGTGGCCAGTCAGACTCTCCCAGAATGTTACCAGACCATCGACCCCCAGTGTGACGACCCAGGTGTGAGCAGCTCCTTTGGCCTTGGTCCCTACACAGACGTAGGCGTCCAGCCCAAAGCCCAGGAGCAGACTGCACAGCAAGACAGCATGGTCCTCGCAATCCTATGAAGGTATCACACATGAGCAACTTTATTATCAACAACTGGAAGAGGTTGCTCCAAGAACAAAATGCAGCACTGGCAAATACTGATTTAGCTTGCTCAGTGTGACACAAGATGCAAGTGACTGAAACAAACTGCGAGAGACATCCTTTTTTAATGAAGTACTGACACATCCAACAATAAAAACTGCTACATTATGTACATGTAGTTGACAGTATACAAATAATATTTATGAGTGCAATGGTAAGAATAATTTCATGAGTTGACAGACGAAATGTTTGATTCCATGAGGCGAAGCTAACCTCACTTTCAATTCAATATGGCCGACTTGTGAAAGCCCAGTTCCATAGACATGAGCAGATTTACCCCTTTATTCTTGCACAGGAAGGCGTGCATACTGCTCCACTGTTCCCTCGCTTGCCCCCCGCCCACTGCTGGTGCTTGCTCATACCCAATCACACTGACGAATCTGGCGGCTTGACGAGGCGTGTCCAACAGGCGACCCGCACGGAGGGGTTTGACAAAGGCGCAGACTGGACGGTTGGTGGCATTTTCGTCCTGGGTGTTGGGGTACAAGACGTGGAAATCAAAATAAAGTAAGGCTGCATCTGGATTACTTGGCAGCAGCTTGAAATTACATGGAAGTCATCAAAAGGAAGCAGCTGAGGTAACCACCTTGGACACGTGCGTAATTTCAAGAGGCAGCTAAGTGACTTGGATGCAGTCTTACTATGCAAAAACTGGTGTAAGTATCAGAAAATGCTGTGTAAGTCACAGTGAGTCAACAGATATTTTGAGTTTTTTCGATGACCACTTTGTTCCAGAAACCACCTGTATACACAGCCATAGCTGACAGGATTAACTACCATGCATGCCCCAAACTCACCTATGGTTGATGTTCAAACACACTAATACACCATTTCGTTTTGTACACACATAAAGTTTGAGAAGTCACCGGAGGCAGACAGTGTATTGAATTTGAACTTGGCCACTGTACACAACCTGTTGCGGTAACAATCAGGGCACTCCCCAATGTGTGGAAAAACGAGGTTGGGGTGGGTGAGGAAACCCAGAGAGCCCGGAGAACCCAATGAAAACTCCTTTCTCCACAGGAGAGAGCCAATTATCAACTCTACTCATATCGAATCCAAGCCACAATGGTTCGAGATGAGTGCTTTACACTCATAGCCACCAAAACAATGGAACCATTGGAACCAGTGTTATGTTCGAGTCCATCACAAGTCCCTGCAAGTCCCTTGAAGTCCATCACACGTCATTCAGTCTTAAGCCAACTCACATTCTATTCAAATGAGCTGTGACAAAAGAAGCATTTTGTCATTGCTTACCCTGTAACTTACGACTGGCCTTGTGAAGGGACTAGTGAAAGGACTTGTGATGGACTCGAATTAAACACTGATTTGAACACTTCACATATCCGAACATTAGTGTGCTGGATATCATTCAAATTTAAGCGACAAAGGGTGAAGCTCACTCAAGCGGGGCTTGATGATACAGAGCAGCCAGCCTCTGATTGACGGTCGTTACCATGAAGCAGTTACCTGTGCAAATATTTTGACCAGTCTGTTTTGGTGGGATGGTCTTATCTGAAGGAACTCCCTCCACCACTGCTTGGCGTACACCAGGAACAGTCGCTCTCGCTCTGACGTCCGACTTCTCTCCAAATTTATCTGAGCAGGAAATGGGTTATGAGTTGGCAATGGTAAGCTTAGAAATGCAAAGGGCAAAACAACTTGGAAGACAGGTCATTCATAGCCACCAGGCAGTTTTAGAGGATTGGTAAAATTCAGAAAAGTACAGACGCCAAAGGATAAAGGCGACTTCAAGTGACTGCAACATGGTCTTTTCGTGATTGAGTCTGTGCATGTGTGATCACTGTACCAAACATGAACCGGCAAAATGAACATTAGATTGCAACGTGGTGTCACTTTTGTTTTTAATCAGCCATCACCTGTGTAAGAATGTTTGGAAGGCAAAATTTTCTCTACCAAGTAATCTCCACAGAGCACTACACGTAGGCTTCGCTCCTTCAGGTTTTCCTTTCAGCAACCAACTTGTAACACCAAAATGCTGAATCCTACAAAATCCAACAGAATCTTAATAGATACTGTTTTGAAGCACTTTAAAAAATGTAGTAGCTGAAGATTTACAGCCAACCTGTGTGGTGATGACCTCTTCTGTGAGTAGCTGGCCTGGTGTAGGCAGAAGCTCTAGTTTCACTTCCAACATACCAACTGGTACCTTACTCTCTGCTCCTATGGCATTTGGGAAGTAATTGGACAGAAACAAGAACATACACACGAGTCTTGACAATATCTGGGAGCTCCCTTTTAAGTTCAAACAATGTGGATTTCCCTGAAAGGCATAAATCCTCCATGAGAGAAAAAAAATAACAAAATCCTGAGTTAAATAAGATTTATTTCAATGAACAAAAATTTGTTGAAGCATACTTACATGTAGCATTGCTGATTGAATACTATGGTTCCACAGATATTAAAATGTATCTAAAGTTATGTGAAATGTGATTTATCAGACTTTTGCATAAATTTTCGAATCATACTGAACGGCTGTAGTCCTTGCATAAAGTCTTGATATTTTCCAGGGGACATGACGTCATCCGTACTTTAAACGGATCGATACTTTGCGCATACCTAAGCCTAGAAGTTCTACAGCGATGGTCTGTCTGGCACCCTGCGAGCTCAACACGGTGCGCCACTGCAGTAAGTGTGAGGAAACCAGACTGGTGTCACCCAACGGGTCCGTCTTGACCAGCACAAGATGGACTGGGTCGCAGATGGACAGCATAGATGTAGCGTCCAGCATTCTTGATGCATCACCTATAGGTAGACATTTGCATTACAAACACAACATTTGAAGATTTGATTAGATTCCTGGAAACCCAAAAGGATACTTAAGAGAATGTCGAAAGAGGAGGATACTGTGGGCTGGCCTATCCAGCCATCCTCACTAGTTCATTATGGCCTGATGCCCAATGGAAAGCTACATGTACGTGTACATGTACATGCAAAGAACATATATGCCACTGGTTTCCTGCCCACTGTGGAGGATTAAGAAAGGTTACCAGCAAAACTGCTGAGATACCTTAGATAAACAGAATAGGCCTGTAGTAAAGCCACTGTCACTCTTTTTCAAGAACACTTGAATCTTTGAATCTGCAGTGTTGATTGGTTGATCTATTGTGACATCAATGACACACCTTTGAGAAGAAGAAACTTTCAGAGTATTCTGAAATAGGAATTTTCAAACTACAAACAAGGACTGGTTCAATTGCTTTCCTAGGCAAATAATGGCAGTCCAAAAGGATAGGTCTAGATTTTCGACCAGATTGCACCAATTTGTGTACCTCCACTCTCTTTGTGAAGTTCCAGCAAGAAGCCCTCTCGGAAGTCCGGCTCACACGCGCAGGGCACAGGCCTTGACCGGAAGCGCTGGCCGCGAAAGTGGACATGAAGCAGGAAGGTTGAGGTGGTCTGGCCAGGCAGTGGTTCAGGCTCTTGGAGGTGCTCCAGGAAGGCCTTGCCGCTGAGAACTTGGAGGTAGAGGTAGCGTCGGGTGGGGTCAATGTTAGCTGAAGATAAATGAGATACCGTACAGCAGATGAAATTTTGCTAACATGCCGCATTTCAATCTGAAATTTAGTTCTAAAGTTATCAACTGAACTATGATGGGAAGCTGACAGCGTTTGGTTTCAACTAATTTTTTCTTGAATAAAGAAATATGGCTGAGGTCGGTTTCAACCTCTTTAGGAAGAGCCATGGCAGGTATTCTGGACATCATAAGTTTCAATCCAAGTTCAGTGAAAGAAAGCTACGACATACACCAACATGTATGTATGGCAGGTGTTCCATCAACCGAGCTATTTCATGTACATGTTGATTAAATCGGCAGGCAGGACTTGGAGCCATTAGGCTACTGCGCACAGTGGCACCAAACATATGGCAATGCGCATGCGTTGCATGACTCCTTGACCAGTAGGGTACTGTGACGTTCTAAATGAAAGCACTCATGACGTGTGAGTGTGTTGCTACTGCAGTTATGGCATTTCCGCAGACTGGTCTATATCCCACGTGGCCAGAAAACTTGGCTGAAAGTGTGCCAGTATGTCATATCACAGGTTACAAGGCTCAAATCCAGCCTTGCTGAAACTTATCCCAGGCTTAGGAGAATTGTGTGAAAGTGTGTGTTGTGCCATCAATAATCCATGAATTTAACTTTGGACACAATGTTAGAAGCACCACTGAATATAAATGTAATGAAGTAAACACTGTGGATATGGTTAATCCCCTCAGATCATTTTGGCTTCATTAGGAATTTTGGGGAGGCAGTTAAAAACTAAGGGTAAAAAAAAGTTTAGGCTCAGCCTGGTCAAAGTGCCAATTTGGGTTCCTACAGAGCGAAAGCTTTTGATGGATGCAGGAGGGTTCCAGACATGAATGCCAGGGGAGCTGGGGTGAACTCTTGTCAGACGAGCCTAAGTGACTGACCTTTCTTCAGGGGAACACCCATGACCTTGTCCTGCTTGTCCGGGAAGTGGCTGGCTGGTTTGGGTTCCTGATGGGGAGCTGTCCCAGGCTTGGATGGCAACCCGACGGCCCCACCAAACTGCAACCGACTCATGACCTCCTCAATGATGCCCTGGTCGCGCAGGACTTGAAGCAATTCCCGCTCTCCAAAATCACGCGTGTGCCCTTCCTGGCTCTCGTCGAGTAGAGAGGTGGACAAAACATCGCGGATGCGCATCTGCACATCCATCTGAACAGAAACAATAGCCATTTCAATATATACATGTATGTCCATGTATGTGTACACAAGCAAAATTATGTCACTGTTTTCTTTATTCTTTGTCAACACCTTTTTATAAAACCAAAGTAAGATAAATCCAATTACACCTCCACACCGGTGGATGAATTTCAAGAGGATTAGTTTAAAAATACCTTAACAGTAATTCAGAGCAGCAACATGCAAGACAACGAACATTAACTGTACTTTGTCCATATACTAACCATACGGAAAGAATTCCATACACTAACATGACTAAACATCACTAAAAGTTTGGGTTGCAGTGCGTACATGTAATGTATCACTGACATATTTTCCCTGACTAATTTATCACTTTTATCAGCCATCAGAAAATGACAACATGGATTAAAAAGTCAACTTATGCAGGGAAAATATTGAAAGTTGCTTAAAAAACTTTTTTTTTAAACCAGTCTAGTATAGTGTAGGTTGTGTGCACAGGGTGTAAGGCACAATGCCCTGGTTTGGAACTCATTCCTACACGAACATTTAAGCCAGACTTACCTGATTAAGTTGGTTGTGAATGATCTGCTTCAACTCGGTGATCTTTTCTGGGGGGAGTGACATTTTCATACATGTACTTCGGGGATGGGTCAACCATGGACAGAACTACATGTAACTGCAATTGGAAACAGATGAACACGCGTGCCAGCAGCAATGGCCACTGGTACTGCCTCCTGTCTAGGCATGCTAGGGGATGAATCTACAAAAAACTAAAAAGAAACATTATCTGCCGGCCTTTGGAGAGTAAACACAGGATATCATGTGCCTAGGAAAGAAATAATGGAAAAAAAGAAATGAAAAACTGAACAACTTTGATGCAGTCAGTCACCGGCCTCTTGACATGCCTAACCTGAGTCCACTATCTGTTTGCTAACCTGCCTGAGCACCATGTTTTCAGAGCACCCTGATGGTGGAATTCAAGTCCTTTCAGAGGACCCATACGTATAAATTGTACATAGACCCGTAAACTGGGCCCTTAGGATTATCATACGGTATAGGCCTACTCTATCATCGAGTACCGACAAAGGAATTTATGTAGTCGCAGGTATGGTAGGGGCCCTGTTTAGGCCTACGCCTATGGGTACAAGTTGGCATGATCGGATGAAGGGCACTAGGCCTACATACATGTAAATGTAGGGCCTGGTATCCATGAGTCACCATAACTCGTGCTCTTAGTACATGGACTGTGATCAAAAAAACTATACTAAATTTTTTACGACTTCATTTTCAGTAGTGGAAAATTTGACTAAATAAAATCCTATATGGAATAACATTATGAAGAACATCGGATGTCACTGAAGCAATAGGAACAATGTCGTCTGCAAACGAGTCGGATCGACTGTAGAAAGACCTACGTCACGATAATTCACACATATACATTGCAAACATCATTTTATGGTGTATCGGTAATGCCCTACTTCTGAAAAATCTGCTAGTTAATGTCTCTTGAATGAGGAATTATTTTTTGCATTAATTACTTTGGTTTGGTGATGCAGTTCGCACAAAACCCTTTTAATAACAACAGCTTGACTTCCCATCACTTCCTCTTTTTCGTTCTCCTAGATTATAATTGTTTTCAATTTAATTTGAAGTTAAAGTGGTGCACGAATTTTTATTCTTTCAAATAAATCATAATTAGCATTAATACGAGTTATTTATCTGGATATGAGGACAAAACTTCTCTATCTCTCTATATGTATTTCTGAAAACAGTTACAAAATACAGTGCCACTAAATCCGCACCTGTCACAGCAAATGGGAATCTCAACGTTAAACTTGATGCGCAGTATGTGTACTTTTTCAGGCTCCATATTTTTGATAATGCTCTCAATACATGTATTCGGCAAAAAGTTGATCAAAGTAATTTTTTGTGCCCGCATCGGACGTCCAACATTGATTGTGAATGAACAGCGATCAGTTTATCCATTTTCTAGACAATTCCAACTGGTTGATTTTTCTTAATTTAGTCTGCAAAGTAAAGCTTCATGCTCTGCTGACATTTTTCCCAAATTCTTCCTGAAAACGTCAAAGCGACAATCAACCATCGACAGTAAATTAACGTCAGTGCATAATTTTGTTAAAGAGGTTCACGACGAGAAAGTTGGATGCGCAAGTATTTGCACGTGCAAATTTAGGGTACTCTATGATACATAAGCCAATTTCCCATTCTGTCACCATGTTGATGTTTGCACTCCTGCGCAAGTGAACGAAGCTAGAGGGGAACAAACTGTCTACAATAACATTTGCTAAACGTTACGCACCGTTGTTCTCATGAATTTGTTCCCCTCTTAACAATAACAACTTGACAATAACAATTTGCCTAAATCAGTCATGTCAGTATGTTCACTGTTTACAAAAAATGATGGAATCCACAGTTATTTTACAAGACAATGTCATGAATTTCACTGGTCCCAGACTGCATTGTTTTTCTAAAGCTACTGTAAAAGATGAGGGGCCAAAGCTGAGCTCAATTGACAATTCATTGAAAAAATTGCCAGTATTTCTATGTTTAACTTTAACTTTGCGTAAATATATACTATTAAATAACTATTTATCTAAGTAATATGCCATGCACAGGGTTACAGCCTACATATGTACATGTTACTAATTAATGTTTGTATATTATTTATTTCTGCACGTTATTTTTTTCTAGTTAATTAGTAATATTAAATAATGTTTGTAGTTCTTGTAGTGTTGTCATAAGTGTCTATGGGTCCTCCACTCGACAAGCAATGCTTCTCGGGGGGTCTCCATCCATCACTGTCCATCAACTAAAGTTGAATACTCAGAATAGGCCATGGAGGAAACAGGCCTACATAAATGTACCATAATTTACTGTCATGGAAAATAATGTTTCCTGGTGAAAGCCTTACCAACTAGTCTATAGGCCCCTATAATTTAAATTCAGATAATTTTATCTTACTTTTCAGTATGATGCACACACACACACGACTCATCAGCAATCAAATCCAGCGGTAGAATTGGGTCTGGTTTCAGCCACTTGTATTCTAATACATCTCAAAATAGGAAGCCACTATTGATCTCCAGTATATACATGAAGAATGGAGACCAGTGGAACTGACTGTACCGGAGATCAGACTAAGGCTGCATCCGAATCTCTTGTCTAGAGCTAGGTCTAGGTCTTCGTTCCATTGGAAATGCGTGGAGACGCGTAGACAATAGACCTAGCCGTAGCTCTGGAAGCCCGTTTCGGACACGGTTTTTTATTTAGTTTTAAAATCTGGTACCCGAACTTGACTCAGAAAAAGGTGGCATAAAACAAGCCCTCCACCAGACTATTTGTAAAACCTGACACATCACATGCCATCACATGCGTTCGTCTACACTGTTTTCAATAATACACCCATCATGACACCTGTAAACGCCGAAACTCTGAACGATATTGTGCGACAGTAATCGCATTTCGGAATGCAGTTTTCGTTTCGAGATGCCTTTGGTTTATTAACTTGAGCATGTTGAGGTTATGCACACTTTATTAGTATGTACTTTAAACCTTGTTTTTAGTTGCCAATGCCGTGTCGAGTTAAACTGACATGAATGACTGACCGTGCTCACACTACACCTGTGACAGTTACATCATGGAGGATAGCTCCATGGTTGCATGTAGCTACGACGGAGTTGTACATGTAAATCCTCACATGAGCCCTAGGGCCTACCACCGTACCGGCACCTCCCGATTCAACAGGGTTGGTCCCCACAAAATCATGAACATGTCACAGCTTCAAGTGCAGTCATGCAAGTCATCTACACTGTAGCTACATGTAACTTCAGTATTTTGTAAAGTGTCACTAAGCCATTCCTTTGTCACAGATAATCCCATATTGTAATTTACTTTCAATTTAACTTGCAAGTGCAAGCACCCATTTTGACCTCTGATGCTGGATGTAAGATGTAGATGCTAGACAATGTTAGATGGAGTTTTATACTGCTAGTCACACCATGACATTGCCCTATATGCTAGATCACAAATCAAAAATGCAATGTTACAATTACTGCTGAGGTAAATTGTACTTACATTAGCCAGTCTGTGAGGTTGGATCCTACAGGCCGGGGCCTGCTGTAGCTCACAGAAGGATCACTGCTAAAGAACTCTTCAGCTTGCTTCCAATTCTATGCTCACCTTGATCTAAATGGTCTACTGTCTGCAGATGATAACAAAATGATAGAGATATGATTTGTACTTACTTGCATGAGATTAACGTCAGAGGTTGATGCATCAATGAAATGGGAGAAGTACAGTTTGCAAATTATGTTCCCCCCAAATATGAGACAAAGACAACACTTTTTCATCAGGAACTAAGTAGATGTTACAGTTGATCTGAGGATTTGGACCCTTACTGACAGCAGAAATCAATGGATATTGTCAAATTTCATATTTTGTTAATTTTGATGTTTTTAATTTGGGTGTGGCTTAACTCGGATAAAACTTCTCAGTGGGATCTACTTTTTTTTTTTAAATGAACTGTGAAGTGTGATAACAATTATGAATCGTGTACTTGCAGCTTGTTGACATGAATATTACGTTCTATCCGATGCAGCCTCTTTGATCCGTATCCAACATGAGAAAGAACACCAGAGGCAAGAGTCAGCTGGAGGTGCGGGTGGACTCAGCGTTGTACAGAATCGCCCCACCCAAGCTGATGCGGTCCTCCTGGTGTGGCACCTGTCTGACAGCAGTCAAGACATTGGCGTTGGTCTTGTTCTTCTACAGTTGCTCCATCAGTCTGACCTTCTATAACAAGTGGCTGTTTAAGGTGAGCTGAGCTCACAGACGGGAAGTCCTCAAAATGTCTTGTGTTTTCATGAGGAGTAGGCTAGCTGTGTTTTGGGACTATTAAAAGTGGTCAATCAAAAGTGGCCGAGAGTGACCAAATATGGGTTGTGTACAATTTCATGTCGTTTTTTAATTCTTTCTTCAGGGTTTCAAATTTCCACTGTCTGTGACTATCATTCATCTGGCAGTCAAGTTCATCATTGCAGTGGTAGTGCGCACGTGTCTTGCCTGTGTTACTGGGAGGAACAACATTGTCTTGCCTTGGTCTGTTTATATGAAGAGAGTAGCACCCACCGGTAAGTATGGTAAATGTATCAGCCATCAGCCACAACCTCTTTCTCAGTCTCTCTCTTTTTGAAACGTGTTAATCATCCTCAACATTGGCCCTATTAGCCTGTTATCATACCGTAATTTTTCCGTGACTGTAATTTTCTGCGTTCTTACAAAATGTGAAAGTGTGAAATGTCTTGAGTGGGAAATTCAATCCAGGGATGCACATGCTGGTTTTTCCCCAAAGGGTCACTGAAAGCAGATAAACTCTGCCTTAAGCATAGGTTGTGATCATTTTAAGATTTCAAATGGATGGGGTGAGGTAGGGGGGGCATGTGCCTCCGATGGGGGTACATGCCCCGCCCCTTCCCTTTTTGTGCCTTCGCCAGTTGCTATGCTACTTGTAGTTAGCTGATGGCAGCATTTAATCCTTTCAATCCACCTGGTGGATTTTAAAGGACTTTGGATGGCTTAAGGTCATTAACAAAGAGAATATCAAATAGGCCGTCTCAAATGAAATGTGCAAAGATAGCTATAAATGTCTGCATTGCACTTCACAAATCAGCAATTAATTTGTTATCCGCTAGTAAGTTTTCAGTGAGTATAGACATGTAGACAAAATGTAGATATTCCAACACATGTAGCATTTGTAACTGTTTATGTCACGCTCCACAGAGCAAGTGGGCTTCTATAGCATGGTTAATATGAATAAAATACCTATGCATACATGCATTATGCAAACGTGACCTTTCATATTACATATCCAGTGGAAACTTTCCCAATTGCAGAATAATAACTGGCTAGAGTAAATTTTCACAATTTTTTTTACATTAATGCTAATAAAATCGAGGATTAGGCAAGTTAAGAGAACCAAATTTTATTTTTTTTTGTCTGTGACCTTTATTATGAGACAGGTACAATCGGCACATCCAGAAATTTGTTTAGGAAAGTGAAAGAGGTGTTAAAGTCAACATATCCAAATGCCAAGGACTATACTAATTGCACATTTGTATGTAATCCCACAACGGAGGAGTGTGAGATTTGTTATGTACAGGAAAGGCATTTCATGGCACCTCATCAGCCACCCCCCTGTCATGCCTGTAGAAAAGGCGTCATCCAAGTCCTGTGTGTACAGCCAGGTGTAGGCCTTCTCTGTTCACAAATATACTTGGACAGATGCTGACAATTGACCTAGCTATAACTCTGGAAGCCCACTTGAAACATTACCAAACAGAACTTTTTAATATCAATAGCGCAAATGATTCAGATGACTGTGACGGCAAGCCTTGGTCCCAAAGGTGATCTGTACCTTTACCCAACTGCCGAGGTTGAGTTTAAATCACACAAACCTTACTGTGTTTGGCAAGGCTAGGGTCAAGATAAGCCCCACAGTAAAGGCCATTCATATTGTTGTGTATACACCACTTGAAACATACAGTATCAATTCAAGTGATTGTTTTTTTCAACTTGCCAGGTTTCAGCAGTGTCCTAGACATTGGCCTGTCCAACTGGAGTCTGCTGTACATCACAGTATCCCTCTACACCATGTCCAAATCAACATCAATTATCTTCATCCTCGTGTTTGCAATTTTGTTTGGTCTACAGAGGGCGGTAAGCATCTGCATTGGCTGTTCACATCTACATACATTTCTTTCCAGTAAAACAAAAAAAACTGTCCTACAGTAGCATGGAGCAAGTTACAGTCTGCAAGTGAAAATAAAGCATTTAAAAAAGTGGGGAGACTTTGAACTAATTTGGTATCCTACGGATTGTGTTGTCACAAGAAAAAATTTGAATTTAAAAAGGCCAGGATACTTTCACATGGAATCACTGAGTCAGTATTTAGGATACTTGTTTGAAAGGGGCATAAGGAGACAAAGTAGTCTCGCGTATGTCCTTATCTGGTTATAAATCACCAAGGCCAGACTAAATGTTTGTGTTTGATGTTTCAAGTAAAGTTAAATACCCCAATTAGATGTTTTAAAATCTGTTCACGTAGATTCAGTAGAAAAAGAGGTTGTTTGGCTGACTACGATGGATTCCAGTGCACCATACTTTTTCCTCTGTTTACAGTGTAACTTCAGTGAATCCCTCCCCAGTGTGTTTGCTAGAAACCCATGTGATTGGGTTGAAGTTTCTAGGGGAATGTGGAGGGTATCTAGGGATGCACACATTTTTGCACTGAAAGCCAGTGAGCTGTAGCTCGTACATAGGTTGTCTTGTACATAGATTTTAAATAGGAAGGGGGAACCCAGGGGCACGGACCTCCTGTCTGCTGGAGGCACACTACTGCTTCTCAACACAATGACATACAACAGTTAAAAGATTTCTCAGTGTAGGGACTCTCTTAATTAAAGCCAACACGGCATCAAATTGCCAACCTGTTAGGCACTGCAGGACCCAGCACTTAACATTGTCCAACAACACCAGCTCTGATTGGTTTGATAGTGGCAATTAATCTGCCATTGTTGGCTGCCCAAGGCACACCAAGGTGTTCAGACTCGTACTCATGTGACATCTTGCATTGCATTCAGCAGTGTTATGGCTGAATGATCTTGTCTGTCATCTTTTGCCCGCAGCATGCCTGCCAGATTATCATCGTCCTGTTCATAGCCGGCGGCCTTTTCATGTTTACCTACGAGTCAACCCAGTTCAATGCGGAGGGATTCGTCCTGGTCATTGTAGCTTCAGTCATCAGTGGGCTGAGGTGGTCGTGTGCACAGATACTCACACAGAAAGAGGAACTAGGTCAGTACCTAGGTCAGGAACTTGGTCAAACATTGGTGTTAAGCCCTAGGCCGTTTTCCAATACTCAACTTTGTCTCTGTCTTAGGCTTCGTCCCCAAAACCAACCCCCGATTGTGGGCCTGAAGCGTTTAAATCAAATTGGATTACTGTAAGTTTTTGCTCTCTTGCATCTTATTTGATGTTTTGTGGCACTATTAGACTAATTACTGTGCTTACAGCTTCAAAGTCAGGTGGTAAAAAAACAGTTGAAGCCTGAGATGGAGCCGAAGTTAAGTATTGGAAAATGGCCCTGGTCAAATCAATCCTTTGTTGTATTAATTTGCTTTTTTATTTTTGCCTTGTACTGACAGTTCTATGAATTGATTGTAGAGTATGTTATTGTATTATGCCTATTATGATGATAACATCAAGTATTTACATCAGGCGTATGCTATTAAGGAGTATTTATTAGTCAAAGGCAGCAATGTCCCTGCTGTCTGATTTTGCTGTATCTCAACATTCCATAGCATACAAGCCCAGTGCTGCTGTGTCATGAAAAAGTTCATGCCAAGTGTTATTAAGTCTTCTTGAGCTTAGAGCGTTCCTTTTTGCTTCTGATGCCCCAGTTCGTGCCTGTTCACAGATCAGGTTTGTTCATATCCTGGTACAAGTTTGAAAATGAATCCCCTCTAAAACTCTGTTTTATCTGATGTCGCCTGGCTTTTCCATGCAGTGTTTGATGGGACCACGGCTAACATCTTGCCACAATCTTACATGCTCGATGTGTTTGAAATTGTTTATTTGCAGGTCTTTCAAATCCTGTTGATACAATATACCACCTCCAGCCTGTAATGATACTGGGACTGATGCCATTTGCTGTATTTGTAGAAGGTAAGTTTCTCACCAGATTATAGACAAACATAACAAAAGAAATGGGTTCATGTGTCTTTACTTAGTCTTACACGAAAATGGCAAGAAAGGTTGGCTATAGATCAAACTTTGAAAACATTATTTCACATCTTTGTCTTTGCAGGTGTACATATATCATCCACCAAGTTGTTCCTAGGCTTTGATGATATTAATGTCTTCCTCCACACATGGCTTAAGGTCGTCATCGGTGCTGTACTGGCATTCATGCTTGCCATGTCGGAATACTTGTTGCTTTCGAGAACGTCAAGCCTCACTCTCTCCATATCAGGGATATTGAAGGTGAGACTGTTCATCCGAATATAACAGTGCAGCTGCCGTCAAAAGTTCTATGTAGGTATGGGCTTTATTCTTGATATGGCTGTTTTGGATTATGTTGCCCAAATCTACTTTATTTACTCAACACTCTGAAATGGCAGCACTTATGTTAGTATAATAAAGGAATAGATACGGGCTTGAGGGATATGAGTTGGTCTTAACTTAAGACCGACTCATGAGAATGGATGCAAAAAATGTGCAAGCCACAGGCAAGAGCATTACCAGTGTTCAGTCTCCTGGGCCAAGCACATATTTATGCCCATGCATAAATACAGTTTTATTCAGAGTCAAAGGAAATCAATATCTGATAATTTTTAAGGAATTTGGCTCAAGAATTTTACTTGTATTTTCCTGAACACCCTGTCTCTTTAATGGTATATTCCTTGCAAGTAGTTCAGAAGAATCTCCTTATGTGGACCTTGTGAGTTCCGCGTTCGCGTGCACACAAACTCTTGACCAATCAGAATCGATTAAACTGTCTTGTGATTTATGCAGTGAGCATTATCACTTCTCAGCAGGCATTATCAAATGTTAATACTAGGTCACATGACACGTTTCGATCGACAGGAATAGACAAATTGTCCCAGGTATTTATGAAGTAGAGGTGAAGCCCTCACTTTGAATATACTGTTTATAAATGACATGGCTTCTCATCCATAATATTGGCAACTGACAATGCCCTGCAGCAACAATTGGCAATGCTCTGCGCCACCAAGAGGTTGCCATGGAGAGGCCTTTGTCACAGTGCATTGTGGGGAAATGATTGACAAAAGTTCTTTGTGGTGGATGCACTGTGCGTGGGGAACTAGAATTGTTCAACTAGTTTTTTATTTAGGTCGAAGATTTTGAAGTGTTTGGAGTTTTGGTGCCAATGTAAAATGGTAGTTTTTGTGAGGCGCAAATTGCCTTAATCACTCACACTTATCCTCAAATTGTCTATTCGCATTCTCCCAAATACAAATTGCAGAAAGTCAGCCGTTTCTTTGTCAACCGAAAACCTGAAAAATGGCGTCTCCATTACATCCTCTGGGTGGCTCCCGTACCCATCAGAGCACAATGATGACAGCCTGTAATTTTCGGCCTTTCCTGTCATCATTTTTCTCAGATGTACATGTATTCAGTCGTCAGAAATGTTTTTCAGGATTACCTTTCTTTCTATTCAAGATAGTGGACTTTTAAATGAGGCCAATACTGTTGGATTTAGCATTTAGAACAAGTGGCAGAAAACACTGTAAGCTGGTATTGCCCAAACTGGCATACATTTGTCCAGTGCATTGCACTTTACCACAGAATCGACCATGACAATTTCTTTTGCTCAGCCGAGTTATTATCAACAACTTGGCTCAGGCTGAATTTTGTTGCATTGAGCAGGGCTGCCTTAACCACTTCATGCCAGGGTGGCCAGTACCGTAGACGTTGGCTTTATACGCAAAGCAGGGGTGTCCGAAATCAGACAAAGGAGCTTGGCCTTGTAACATAAGACCATACTTGGAACAAAAGACTGAGCTGCTGGGAATTGCCAACAATTTTTCAATTGTCCATAGCGGAGGAAATCTGTCACTCTTTTGAACGATTACACCGCTGTTTGTGGCATTCAACATGAGTGTGTTACCACGGGGGACAATAGCACTCCAGTGCTCCAGGGATAAGCGATACAATGCCACTTCACACTAATCTGGTCCGCATTTGAAAAGACGCCAGCAGTGCACTAGGCCAGTTTCATGAACAAAAGAAAATTACATTACACTGCACAATCTGGGCTGTCTTTACAAGGTGGCAGGCCCGGCTGAAATACTCGGGCGTCAAAAGATGTTGTCTGTCTGATTAGAGTAGCCACTATAGACCACTATGTGGGTGTAAATGTCCAATAAATGAAGATATGAATTTATGAAGAATTTTGAAAACGGAAAATCTTGAAAATCCCCCGGGAATACGTCATGCAAGGGAAACCTAATAGAGACTTCATTCAAAGCTGCGTAGGCCATTGTGCAATAACAGTATTCATTTATTCCTATTTTGTATGCCCATGGAGAAGAAGGGGACTAGACACAGGCCCGTTGAGATCTTGTCCATCTAAATCCTTCTGAAAAAAAAAGTCAAGAATGATTTCCTTTTGTAAATACAAATTTGTTCTGATATTTTTTTGCCAAAGTTATCAGACATACATGTATTCACTGGAATATGTCTCAACATGTCTGGTGTCCCTTTCAACTCGTTTGCGTTGAACTTATTAGATGTATACATGTTTATGTCAGCTGATCGCTTTGAATCCCCATGAGCCACTTTTTATGTCCAGAAACTCTTTGCTGAAACTTGTAAACAGTATACTTGAGCCTGTGTGCAATGTACTATGAGCTTTGAGTTACCCCCTAGTCCTTTCTGATGAGTAAGCATTTGACAACAGCTAAAGTTTAAGTTAAAGGCTCAGCTTCGGAGCCATTTACTTGTTATGAAGTCCTACATGTAAATGTAGCTTTTTCCTGGCCAACAGCTCCGAATTACATACAAACTTTGCAAATTTTCACCATTTGGCAGCAAGTTAAGAAATCTGATTGTATTCCCTGACTGAGCTTGCGTACACATACTAACATTCAGAAATGAATTTAACAATAGGCAAAAATTCAGTTGCAGCAATATTGGCATATGCCAGCTAAATAATGTGCATTTATTCTAATAAACTTTAATATTCTTTGTTGTACAAATCATTACCATTGAAAGTGAGTGGTTTATGAAGTGCCATCTCTGTCCCATGCACAGTTGTGAAATACTCGATTTTGTAAATAAATTTTTGAATTTGTGAGCAGTTTGTCCATATTCAACTGAATCTGCGACATCTTTATCTCCCTTGGGTTTTGCTCAAATATATGTACTGCATGTTTTTGAGAAAATGAAACTTCAGTTCTCACATCTGAATTTCATGTTTATATTCATCCATTACAGGAAATCTGCACTCTCTACATTGCGTCCGAGTACAGCAATGACACGATGTCCCTGCTAAACTTTTTCGGAATGCTGATATGCCTGTTTGGCATTGCGCTCCATGTTATCCTGAAGGCTATCGCATCAAAAGGTGAAAATGATGCTCAAGGGAAAGTAAAACAGTGGAAAGTTCCACTGCCGGACCAAGCTCTGGGCCAAAATAATAATTTGGCTGAATTTCTTGGCTACTTCATTGTGCATTTCATTACATTCCATGCAAAGTTGAATTAGCATGTACAACTGTTTAAGAAAGGATCAGGCTCAAACCTCATAACCACTGAACAATGTACCTTTTGGCTTACAAGCATGTGGAAATAAACCACTAATAATCAAAAAAGATGACAAAGTTTCATACAGGAAGGCCGGGGCTTTAGTTTCACGTGTGCACAGCTTCAGTTGTAATTCTTAAGTTTAGATTTCCAATATAGTGTCTTTTTTTAATTCACGTGGTTGAATGTAACATCAGATTAAGTTAAGGTCGTATTGCATTGAAGTTGTTGACAAGGAACAGGGTCAGTGACCAAGGAATGCTTTTGTAGATGTTAATTTGAGTAGCTTATGAGTTGTATTCCGACCGGCAATATTTTTGAAAGTTTCCATTTTGGGGAGGGGGCTGCCAATGCACTTTCCCATCCTGGGACTTAACGTTTGTTTCAAAAACATGAATGGCAGAATTTGTGTTAAAGAGTAAACTATATTTTATTTGCTTTGCCGTTTCCTTCAGACATGTCAAACTCCAGGAATGATGCATTGCACCATGGCGACCAAGAGCAGCTTCTTATGAACGACGGGACGGCCAATGATGACGAGGATGACGAGGAGGAGATCTTCAGTGCAAAAAGAATGCATGTGACAAGATTATAGTACCAAACTGGTGATTCTCCACAAATAGCCTGGTCGTGTTGAGTGCAGAATTCTAATTCAAATGAGGTCAGTGTTGGACCAAATACCCTGCCTGTAAAATCAAGCCATAGGCTGAGAAGATTTTTTAAAAAACCTTGGCTTCATATCTGTTGCTTCCAGCTTACAGTCCCCGGTGGTCAGAACCCCTAGGTTGTGTTCCTCCAGCCCCATGTGTAGTTGGGGTAAACTTCAGACTGTATGTAGCTGGAAACTAGCTGGAAACTACAAGTAACTTAGAGCTAGTTATCCTTGCTTTTAGCCTCAAGGTGGAATCAGGAAGGATGCAGCTGCAATGCGGTCAAACCAGCGGCATATAAAAGTGCGTCGTGCAGCTGGCAGGCAGGACCCATATTTGACTATGGAGCACAGCCAGAGATCAAAAAGTGGTGATTTTTAGCAGAGGGAGGAAAATCAAAGAACTTGGAGTAACAAATCCTTTTGGGGGGACTGGAGAGAACCAGTGAACAACTCTACTCATGTATGGCGCGGCCGTGAATCGAACCTGGGTCACAGTGGTGATAGGTAAGTGCCGTACTCACAAGCAACCTATACCACCCCAGCGATGGAGCTGGAATTTAAAAAATGGTCCAGGTGTTAGGAAGTACACCAGAAGCTTACCAGTTCCTTTTTTTTGTTTACTGGTGCACTCTGCACGGGAGCGGATCCAAAACCAATTTTTTTGGGGGGGGGGAGGCAGGTCAAAAGGGTTTTTGGGGAGGGTGTCAAAATCTTTTGAAATTTGTGACCTGTCATCTCAAAATGAGCTGAAAGTTGGAATATTCAAAAGCTGAGATATTGGTGCTTTTTTATTCAGGAGGAAGAGAGCTTTCCAGTGGTACATGTATGTACATGGAACACTTAGGGTAGAAGTATATGACATTATGACATTATTCTGGCAGCTTTATGTCTTTGTTTCTGACATTATTTCAGCATTTCTGACCAGACACAAATAATGCTGTCATCGAAATTGCTGAGAAAATGACATTTTTAAATATATGATTCTGAGAAACATTTGGAATTACACAGAAAACGGGTTACTCCTTCCAAATATTTCAACATGCCCCCCCCAAAAATTGACCTCCACTTCAATATGACTTTGAACCCTCACAAAAGGTAAAAGCAGGATGCTACCTTACTTCCATTTTATTATGGCAGGTCACATTTATAGATGTAACCTTTTGTGATCTTTCAGAGGGCCAAGGCTTTTTATATGCATTTGGAGGGAAAGGAAATGAGACAGTCTTAAAATATTCTAATTTTCCAAAAGCTAATGATTTTGCCGGGTAGGGGGGCCTCACCTCAGATCCTGCAGGAAATACATCCAAAGAGACTCTCACATGCTTCCCTGAAATAGATAGTGTAATGTGAAATTCTTGTGCTGTTTTTTGACGAGATGGCTTTGGTCGAGTCGAGGAAGCTCACCCAGGGCATTGAAAGCAAATATTAAAGCTGGATATGCTTCAGTGTGTCAGTGAATCGTTCCTGCATCATAGAATTTCCAACAATTGATGAATTTTCTTTGGCTCTTTAGTCTGAAAATATGTGGTAGCAACAACAGGATTAATACATTCATAGAAATTCATAAATGCAGAAATTTTTTTTCAGCATTTAACCATACTTGAAATGATGGACTTGTGTCATCTGCAAAGTGCAATGGGTGATGAGAAGTGAAAGTGAATTAATTTCCTTGATGTCTATCATGTACACGCAGTGTGCTGTAATTTGCATTTAAAACCAATATCAGAAAGATTGAATATCTCTTTTAAACTTTAAGGAGTTTGGTTTATAAATTTTGTCTTCATATCAATTGTGCATATTCAACTGAAAGGGATTTAACCACTTGCTGCCGGGGACCCGTTTTCGGGCACGTAGGTTTTATACATGGAGCCGGGGAACCCGAAATGGGACAAAGGGAACTAGGCCTTGTAGCAAAAGACCGTACTCGGAACAAAAGACTAGGCTGCTGGGCATTACCAACATTGTTTCACTCTCAATAGTGGAGATAATCCAGCCTTGTTTTGAAACGGTATACCATGGTTTTGGGCATTTGGAGTGAGCGGATTACCACCAGAGACAAAAGCACTCCACCACCGCAGCGATGAGCCACACAGCACCGCTGCATGCTAATCTGGCCCCTATTGAAAAGAGGTTCGTGAACAAAAGAAAGTTAATAACACTGCACAATCTGGGCTCTTTTTACAAGGCAGCAGGCCTGGCTGAAATACCTGGGCGTCAATAGAATTTGTCTGTCAGGCTACAGTAGCCACCAGACAGAAATTCATGTGGGTGTAAATGTCCATTAATTGAAATGATTAATTTTTGAAGAATTTTGAAAACTGAAAATCTGGGAAAAGTCCCGATTATGTGCACTGAATTTTTCCAACCACTCGGCAGCAAGTTAGTAACCTTTTATTTTTCTTTCATTTTTAAATCTCTTTTGAATGTTGTAATTCTAGTTCCTTTAATTTATCACATACATGTATACATGAATGAACCATCCTACGCTTTTTCAAATTGAGAATTTTGTCAGGAATTTAGATGGTTGTGTGCTAGCCTGGACCTCCAAACAAAAGAAAACATGTAATTCAGGGTAAGATGATGTTATGCAGGCCTGCACACCCACACAGTGTTTCTCCCTGAAAAAAAAGTTCCAGAGGTATTTTGTGGTCAGGGTTAGTTGTGGGATAAATGAAAGGAACAGTCTAGGAAATTATCCAAATCCAGCTCGTCGGAGTTTCGTTGTTCAGAGAAAAATGAGCATCTTCCCAAACTTTTTTCAACCACAGAGTATGAGAAACAAGCATGTTTGTTTTACATTCAATCGAGAACCCTGAATACAAAGCATAATGGGGTTCCCAATTAACCAAGGGTCCCCAATTGACAGTCCTGTACTACAGAACATACGGGAGGTCGTCCAAATAAACACTTGTGCGGGGGTGGGGGGTTGGGAAGGGAGGACGATGGAGGTCTATGGGGGGTTATTAACACCTAAGACCTTCGCCCCTTTGGTTTGGAATGGGAAAAGCAGCCATTAGTTTTAGCATTAGCGATATCGAGTGCTAGCAGGCTATGAAACTATTATGGACCATTCTGTCAAGGGTTTAGAGTGTGACATGGTATGGATTTTTGTGTGGATGGATTGAAATTTTACACTCAAAAATATGTCCAATAATATGCCACCAATAATCTCCAGCACTTCCCTCCTTTTGAAATGTTTCATTGGAGTCAGACACCCCCCCTTATTTATTGAAGGACCCGTGCCAGTTTTTTTATGCAGTTGTAGTGAGTCACTGTTTCAGCTTCTGACAGAAGCCAGTGAGCATGTTTTCAGATTTTTGACGAGTATAATTTGGGTCACACTGTATACTGAAAACCATCAAAATGAGCTATGTCTAAGTATGTTTTCATCCAGAGTCATGTGTTGAGAAAATTGAGACACAAATATCACCATTTTGAAAATTGACGGGTAGTTGTTTGTGCCAGTGCACACGGACAGTTGATATAGAATAGCAGTATGCTCTACTGAACACAGAATGAACAGCCATTTTGTTTCCAATCAGAGGCAGGTTCTACTCTGGACATCACAGCAACAACGCTAGTGTCTTTATTTGTCAAGAAAAGCATGGAATATTTTAAATGTTTGACTCATTGGTAAGCACCCTTTCCAAAAACATTTAAGGAAGTCGCACAAAATGTATTCCCCAAAGGAACTGGACATTCCATGAAGAAAACTAAGATTCCATTCATATTCCTTTTATGTAGAATTGGCTGGGAAAACTAGGGAATCGAAGCTTGTTTCACTTCTGATGTTAATGAAAGATGTTTCATTTCTATTATTAAGAGATTTAATTTTACATGTCCCGGACATGTGGGACATTTTATTAAAACATCAATAATATACACATATTTGGTACTCTTCAAAGGTTTTGTGCATTTTTCTTGCAATAAAAAAAAACTCAAAATAAAAATGCTGAGTGTCCTTCACAGAAGATCATTTCTGACTCATTTCAGTACCACAATAGCATGAAGGTATTCAAACGATAAACATAATAGAGGATATAATATCTTCCAGGGAATATGACAATATTTTTGATAAATGTGGCAATTTTTATAACTGGCAAAGGAATTACTTGAGTACTGGGTATCACAAGCATATACAAACAAAGCCATAACAATAACAGCTCTCATTATGGACAACTATTGTTGATACATGTTGTTGTTCACTTTCAGTGGAAACTGTGATGGAGAAAATGTCACAGGTGAGCAGACCCTGAGCCCCCAACAGCTCTTATGGAGTGAATCATTAATCATTCTCTGTATTACAAAAGTGCACTCTTGGTAACATTTTTAACACTTCTAAATGAACATGCAGTACAACAGAGGTAAGGATACAAAATTTCCAAGGACCAACTCTTTAAGTCAATATGTCACCACGGCAACTTCAGGCTTAAACACCTTTCAAAATATCTAAACCTAAATCGACAGTAAAGGCGCCTTTCCATATGCACGTCAACACTTGCGCCAAGCGCTGTGTATCCGTTACAATTGCTCCCAGAGCAATTTTGACGACCGAAAGCAACGCACATGTGTGTTATGTTAACATGGTTAATGTCTGTGAAAGTGAAACGCATGAACAGGTCATGCATGCAACGCACGAAAACACGTACATATGGAAAGCTGCCTCAACCCTGGAACGACTGTCACCTGCATGATATCTGTTTTCAGTGGGATGTCAAACTGAGTAATACATCATAAAAATTGGCTTGCCCTTTCTAATACTAACTTGGCCACGATTACTGAAATACAGCCTTCAAGGCTTTGTGAGATTCAGTCACACAAATTAAGTTTAATAAATGCAGCGACATGTGAGTTAATTACAAATGAATCCACTTCTTTTAAAAAAAAAGAAGTTGCACACTAATAGAACAGATTCCAAATTCTGTTAACAATCCAAACAGAGAAGAGTATGCTGGCCTCATTTACCAGCAAATTTAGTACATGTGGTTTTTAAAGAAACAAAAATTTCACCTGGTTTCCCTTCACCGAGTTTATTATACATCTCTCCCTCAGCTAGTTACATGTACAAAAAAACAGCAAATGCACCGCTTATCTAAAATTTCGAGGATTTTGAAGGATTCAGTAAGGTAGATCCTAATTTATAGTACTTGAAAAATTAACTACTGAGAATGTAAATCTGAACTGGTTTTCTGCACAGTACAAGAGTTTGAAGGATTTTAAAAACGTTCCAAGCAGAAACCCCTCGGGGGTTCAGCCTATTCGCTCTTTTCTTTTTCCACCAGGACTTGAATCACCAGCTCGTTGGCGTCCTCCTTGTCACTGTTTTTTGTTAATACCCGCAGTACCTCTTCCTCATTGTTGGGGAAGATGCCCATCAGCATCTCATAGCAAGGGTGGTCCTTGGCATCTTTGCGGCCAGCCTTTTGGCCAAACGATGCGGCCAGTATTGCCTTGGGAGCCGGCGCAGGAGCAGTCTGGGGCCGCTGAGTTCCTTTGGCTGTGCCTGCTCCGACAATCTGGGCACCAGTCTTTGCACTGGTTCCCCACTGTGGGACAACTCCTGTGGCAGGTAGTGTAAGCACTGTCTTGCCTTGTAGAGTCTGCATACCCACCTTTGTGGCAGGCTGTGCTGTTGACAAGCCCTTAGGATCTTGTAATGTCTTTAATCTTTGTTGGCTCGTGGCACCAGCTGCATTTCCGGGTGGTTGGGATTTACATAGGATTTGATCAATACGGGGTCCTTTTCTGCCAAGCGGGTCATTCAGAATCATAAAATGGTCACCAGCAAAGGTGTACATGACCAACCTGCCAAGATAATGACACATCAGCTTTGAAAATTAACTGTGGAAACAGCAATGCTTCAAACAATACATTTACATAATAGACTGATTTTTAAAATCTTGAATTAGCTGATCAACCTTAGATCCTTCAGTAAAGTAACTCTATCCTTTTGTACATTACCTGTACCATAAAGTTCTAATGCAGCCTATAAGTCAAGCAAAATAGCCACTGACTTTCAAATATGCATCGACTCAGTCAATTTTCTTTATTTATATACAAAAGATTCCTTCCCTTGAAAGCAAGTTACTCATCAGTGCCATTCAGTTTATACCCCCAAACAGCAAGGAACATCTTTGGTTGACGATGTCCCAAATAGAATGCAACAATTTCAGTTCTGCTACGAGCCTTACCTGTTTTCAATGACAAATCTCCACTGGGGTGACTCCCCCATCAAATCCCTGAAATTGTCATTGGACACTATGACTCCATCGTTCTGTACAGCAAGCTCGACAATAAACCTGTAAAACAAAACCCTGATCGTTACTTACATGTATAGGTACATATACAGTGGAGACACATACTCCTGTGTTGCTCAGCCCTGCATTTTTTTTACAGGAAGCCTTCCTGAATCCACAGAAATCCAATGATGCACTGAGGGCAGAAGTAACTCATTAATCATGTTAAAGCTAAATGTTGACTCACAGCATGCAACATTCTTACCAAATTTTTACCGTAAT